ACAACAACAACAACAACAAGGAGGAACAATAAGAGGAAGAACAATACCCTTGAAGAAGGTGAAGAATAAATATGCTGCCAGCAAGCTAAGTCCATTAACTGACAAATGCCATACCCTCAACTCTGCACTTACAGATCAATGGTTCAACCAAGATGAAGAGTACACAAGTTACTTCAAGCTCTCCCATAGTCAAGTGTCTCAGCTCTGTGAGAAGCACTCTTTTGAACACAAGGACATGCTCGTCTTCCTCATGAGGTGCCGCCACAACCTTCCCTGGTACATGATGGAGCGTGTGTTCCTATATCAATTGACAATCGCTCAGCTCAGGTACTCATTCACCAAGGTGTTCGATAGATTGAAGTCGTACTGCCATGGGTACTTCCAGGATGTGGTTCACAATGGAGAGCTTCGAGACAATCATGCAGAAATATGGAAAGATGGTATTAAGCACAATGTTCATCTCATTGTGGACGGGTCAGAGCAGAGGATTCAAGTGCCGCCACACAAGACGATCAAGGATCTTGTTTATTCTGGCAAGAAATCAATGTATTCTTTGGCAGTGTTGGTCATTTGCGATATACGTGGCAAGATCGTGTATGTAGGTAAGACAGAGGGAGGCGCCCAGCCTGACGTCTCGCTCTACAAGGATGCTGCACCTAGACTACAGGCTCTGTTCGATGAAGATATTGTCATTCTCGGTGACAAAGGATTCAAAGGAGGTCAGAAGTACTACACCAACACCATCACCCCCAAGATCAAGTCGGCTTCATTGATCGATCATATGGAGTACACAGACAAGATGATCAGAAAACGCACGCTCGATGAGCATCGCCTGCGTCAAGGAAAGGAGGCGACCAAGGTATCTAAGAAGTTGAAGGCATTGGAAGCCAAGGTCACCAAAGAAGGATTCGATGCCGAGCGTATCCTGAGAGAGAAAGATGAGAGCAATCGAATCAAGAAGGTGAGGATCATCATTGAGAATGTCTTTGGAGAGATGAAGAAATGGAACATATTGTCAGACACAATCAGATCACTTGGCGACCTTTCTGACAACATTCAACGACACAACGCACTCTGGACAATTATCGCATATTTGACCAATATGTTCCACTCCTTTGGACGAGACGACGATTTCTTTAAGGTCTAATTTATCATACAACAACAACAACAACCACAACAACAACTACAACAACAACAATAAAAATATAAATATTTAATTAACATCAGATAAGGTTTGAAAGGGTTCCCCTTGCTGTTCCAAGGGTTGTCCAGGGTCGAACCAGCTCGAACCCAAGGATTGAGACCGCTGAAAAATGAATTCTCTGCGTAACCTTGACTATCCCCTGCAGAACCTTAGCAGCAACCAACTCAAAACTTTAGATTAATTGCGATTTTTGATGGATATTAGGGTCCAAATCGGAGATTCTGAAAGCTTTCGTCGAGGATCGAATCGCAGTCGTCGGGTAAGTCTAATACTATGCTCTTGGTTACCACTCCAAGTGTACCCAAACAAACTTCATTCACTCAATCACTTACTTACTACGACTAACTTGACCTTCATAGTAAATCACTTTGGTTTAAGCTCAGTAGTAGTTGAACATCGCATCTCATAAAGGTAATGAATCGTTCAATCATATAATACAAAGGTCAGGATAGTTGACAAACGTATTTGATGTAACATGTTACATCATCAGTTCATCAATATCAAATTGTACAAACAACCAATCAACCTTCCTCACTACACTCACACACACATAAACACCAGAGAGACTTTACCGAGGCAACCATTGTTGCCCCTGCTACTACTTACACTTACCTTATTTATGTAGTTGTGATCACACCCCACGATATGATGTTGTGAATCAATCAAACACAACACCACTCACACCCAGTCTTTCCAGCTGATTGATTGATTACCGGATTGCACTGACCCCACCACCCCATCCATCAATCCATCCATCCATCCATCCATTCAATCAATCAATCATTGGCACCCAATATATATGCAGTTCAGATATATGATCAAGTATCATATGGTGTTAGTAACAACACAACAACATACATTACAGCAGCAGCAGCAAAGCACCGATGCTTCAATTTGTTGCTGTTGGAAGCTGCTGACTTATTGACAGCGGATCCATCCATCAATTCATCTATGCAATCATACCCCACTATTATCTTTTCTCAGCTCTCTCTCTTCTCTCTTATGTGTATATGATTGGTGCATGTGTGTGTTATCCAATTGCCAATCACGATTAGCATTCTATCTATCGACTGACTGCCTGCTACCCAATACTATCCAAGCAACAACCCTATCAATCCCCTCTCTCTAATCATCATAATTTAAATTATGATCATATAATACCTACCAAATCATCAACATTATATATATATTTTAAATTATATATGAATTATATATATCTATATATTAGTGATCACATCCCATTAACCTCTTACTGATCATTCAAACACACACATCAGACAGGAACAGGAGGATACTTATATCCGTCGACGGATTATTCTATATTATTATTGAATTATTATTATTATTATTATTATTGCGACCAAGAAGAGGAAAGCATTGTACACTACATCATAATCAGCATCAATTATCTTTAATCCTACAAACTATTAATAATTAATAATGACAGTAGCAACCTTGATAAATACACCTATAAATAATAATAATACATCACCATCACAAATGGATCCTACGATAAAGGACCAGGTGGAGTTGGAGTTCAAGGTGTTTAAGGTGTTGGCTGCATTCTCACAGACACTGGAGAAATCTCTGATCACAAGTCAGTCCAGTGTTCATGGCATTTTCAACACGCTCAATCAATCATTACCCGAGCTACCAGAGATCAAGTCAATCAATCAGCTGACCGACGATGGAAATATTGGTCTACTGACCATTCAAATGGTCAGGACGGTGATCCAACGTGCTGATCAACTCTCCAAACAGATATCCATACTTCAACAAACTGTTCAATCAACATCATTACAACATCGGTCACCAGAGGTGACCAACGCAACGGGAAACAGTGTCAACAGCAGTGTACACACATCGCCAGAGATCAAGTTCTTCCCACCACAAGAGCAATCACATGAGTCCAATGTTGTTAATGAATTGGCATCATCAGACTCATCACTTGAGAATGATGGCTCTGCATCGAGCGACAGCAGAGACAGCGCAGAATTCTCATCAGACTCAAAGGCCGACAACAACAATGGAATGACTACAACAATGACTATATCAATTGGATCGGATGATGTACATCCTGTTCAACAGCAACAACAACAAGTACCAAGCACTACATCTACCGACACAAGAGACAGCGTGGAATGGGACACTAAACTACAGACCGAGATGCAACTCAATGCCATGCTGTCCGAGTTCCTAAAGGAGGACTTTGAAATCGCCAACCAGATTGGCGAGCCCAACTTGGAGGACCAAGAACACATCACACCACAAGAGCACATTACAACTCATGTCGTATCCAACCCTACCTCTCCAGTATTCACGCCACCGACTTTGGCCACTGGTGCCAACCTCAGCTCCAGCGGATCATTCACGTCACAGGTCCACTCGCCTCTATCTCACTCAACATCCTCACTCTCAGTCACCAGTAACTCCACCCAAAACTCATTGAACTCTCTATCCAACAGCATGTACGCCGATTCACAGCATGCCAAGCAACAACAACACAATAGTAGTACAAGTAGCATGAGTACCAGCAGTAGCAGCAACAATATTAGTGGTAGTAATGCACCAAAGAAGGCTTACCTCACCGACCTACTTGACCAGATAGACGAGAATACTCCAACAAAGGATAAGAAGAAGGGAAAGTTTAAGTTCTTCTAATAAACTGGATCATAATATATAGTCGAATCTTCATTGTTTAGATTGGTTGTTGTTGTTATTTGTCGTATATATGTTTATTTGTTTGTTGTTGTCGATGGTTCCTTTGGTTTCTTGGAGAAGAATCCAGTGCGAGCAGTGTTGGTTGGCGAGCTGGCTGGCGAGTCTGCATTCTTGGTTGGCTTTAGGATGTTCCATCCCTTGCCAGTTAATGGTGTGCTCGATGGAGATGATTGAGGCGATGACGAAGGTGTCGAGAACTTGGAAGCAATGGCACTGATGGGTGTCTTTGCTGGTCCTGGCGTTGTTGTAGAGGCACCTCCAGAGGTTGACGGTGAGATGGTTGGTGATGTCGCAGTCTTGTTCGTTGTGGTCGTTGGAGCGGATGAAGTCACTGGCGTCGGAGTGACTTTGGCTGGGGACGAAGAGGTGGTAGGTGGTGACGTAGGTGGTGGCGAAGACGCTGAGGATGTGGACGAGGGTGAAGGTTGTGAGGTACTGGTAGGAGAGGTCTGGTGTTGCTGTTGCTGAGTGACACTTGTTGCGTTGCCAGTTGGACTACTCGACTTGACAGGAGAGGACTGCTGGGTGGGTATTCTGTTGGCTGACATTCCAACCGAGTTTCTCCACGAGTTGCTGGAGGACAATGGTTGTGAAGATGAAGCCGATAGTCCACCAACCAGGATAGGTGAGACTGCAGGGGATGAGTTGCTACTACTGTTGCTGGTTGTTGTTGGTTTTTGCTCAGTGCTACTGGAACTGTTACTGTTGCTACTCGTGTTGTTGTTGGCACCAATGACCGATGTTCCATTGTTGCTATTGTTGATCGCCCTGGCAGATGGTCTAACAGCCTTGAATGGCTCAACATGATCAGAGCTATTGGTTCGCACTGGTCTCTTGTATAGCTGGTCTTCCTCCAGTGCCTGGAATGTGGTCATATAGTTCTGTTGAACAGTGAGTTCGCGCTTGAATGAAACAGAGATATCATTGATCATCTTCTTCCTCTGAAGGAATTGATGTGATACGCTGTTGGAGTCAGAGAGTGCCAATTGTTGGAATGCATTGATCGCTGTGGCCTTGGCCAACTCTGCCAATATATGCTTGCTGACAACCAAGTCATCATTGATAATTGGTCCGAATATTGTAGTCTAATGTTTGATTGATCGATTGATTGTTAGTGTGTGTTTGATTGATCATGATCCATTGACTATATCACTTACCTTTGTGAACATTCCCTTGTATATCTTGACTCTGTACAACTTGGATTGGAGAGGAGTGATGACAATCTGCACTCTGCTAGTGATGTTCTCAATCTTGAGCTGCTCATACTCCTCCAACGTGCCATCATACCACACGATGACAACGCTGTCCTTGCCCAACAACTTCTTCTTGTGCTCCACGGATGAGCCTTGATTGGGCATCAGAGTGGTGACGTGAAAGATGGTCTCGCGACTGCTGGTTGCATAGTATGGCGCATACTTTCCGTGCAAACCCTTGGTATCCAGTCCACCTAGATAGCCGCGGTGTGTTGCCACGTCCACTGTCCAGCCAAGCGATGAGACAAAGTCAACATAGTCGGATGGAGTATCGCTGCCGACCACATTGTTGAGAATGTCATCTTCGGTAGTGTCGCTCTTCTTAATGTACATGACACCGATGCGTGTCTGCGCGCGCTCCTGCAGTGAATCCAATGAGTAGAGAGCCTGGTAGAATGTGAGTGTGTTCTCCATCTGACACACCCTGCCCTTGGACTCGAGCGAGAGGAACCCCAAGTTGGAGAGGAGCAGACGCGAGTTTTGGAACTTTAGGTCGCCCTGATACTTGTTCTTTGGTGATGTGGACTGGATCGTGGTGCGGTGGTTCAGACCATGAGAGTTGGTGTTGAGTATGTTCAGCTCGGACTTGATCAGTGACTCTGTTGATTGATTGAATGCAGCGTCCTTGGTTGTGCTAATGTACTGGCTGACATTGCCAAAGTCCTCTTGGTTCATAATGAAGGATGACACGAATGGCTGAACCTTGTCCAACTGTAGGGGTGGTGGAATGACTGCAGGGACCATGTGTGCGCCGGTTGGTAGGGGCTCCTCGCCCTCCCAACCATCAGAAGACGCGTCAGACAGACGCTCAGTCTCGGTAGAGCTGTCGCGGGGTTTGAAAGGAAGCAATGCGTAGTCAGTGTTGATCACATAGCGACCGGTAGAATCACGGATGATGATTGTTGTGTGCGGACCATTCTCGCCGAATGGCTGATCGATAAGAGTCATGAGCATCGAGTCATTGACAGAGTAGAAACGGATGCATTGCTCAACAGGGAAGTTTGGCTGGCCCTCCTTCTTGGCCTGCTCGCGGATCGAAGCAACCACATCAGTCTCGAGCCAAGCCGATGATGTCAACGAGCTGTTTCCAGCATTGTACGGGTTGGGGTAGAAGCTCAATCTGTTCATGATCGTGTCAAATGTGCACTGAGCAATCTCCTTGATCCTGGACGTGATGTTTGGATTGTTGATCAATTGTTGGCGTTTCTTTTGTTGTGTGGTCGATGCTGCAGCGTTGGCCGACTGTGCGCCCGCTGTCGATGTTGGCATTCCAGAGTTGGAAAGGTTCAGACCTGCTGCACCTGTGGGCAAATGTCCACTGCTCGATGCAAGGTTTGAGGAGGCGCCACCGATCTGAGGAGATGATGGTACCTGCTGAGATGCGCTCATTGACGGAACATTGACACCAAGTCCACTGCCGGTTGGTGTGTTGGAGATAGTCTCCTCGTTGGGATTCTTACCACCGAGTGCAATGGTCAGCGAGTCGAACAGCATGTACAATGTGCTGGTGTCGGTCTTGTAGTTGCCATCAAAGATCCATCCACTGACGATAACCCATTGACCAATGGCAGCCAGTGCAAGGAGTATCAGCTCCTCGGTCTCCGAGCTGATTGGTGTCTCTCTGCATTTGAACACAATGAACTTGCATAGCTTCCTGACGATGGTGTGCGCGATCTGGACAAAGGTGGGGATGCTAGCGTGGTGGCTGGCCAGCTCACCCAACAGCTGGAAGGAGTGCGAGATGACCTCACCTGGCCATTGGCCAGTGAATGAGGTAGCCTTCTTGAGCACAATATTGATGGCAATGTTGATAAATGCCGTGGTTGGATTCTTTCCATCGGGCATAGCCGTGACATTCTTATGTTGATGCTCCAATTGGAAGTCAAGAATGTACCAGATCAGTGTGGACAGGTTGTGTGGCGAGGTCTCAGTGTTGAGTGCACTGAGTATGAGATGGGCGACATGTGATCGAACGTCACGGAATGAGTTGAGATCAGGCTGGGCCAGCTCGTACTTGCCCGTGACATCTGATGGCAGCGGGGGGTAGTACTCCATCGAACGTTTGTTAAAGAACTGGTAGAACTGCACGTTCTCGAAGCGATTGGAGTAACACATGATCTGTCCAAGGATGCGAACGGCTGAGCGACGTAGTGGCTCGCTGTTGGAACCTGGCACTATAGTTAGAATACGGCCAAGTGCACGAATGTACGCGGGGACCAGGATACGGCAGCCTGGGATCTCAGAGGACAGCAACGACTTGGTGTGGATAACACCGGCGTAGAGTATCTTGCCATCACACCACAACACCTCGCTGATACACGAGTAGAAGCTGGCCAAGTAGATTGGATCGAATGTGATCTTGGGTGAGCAGGTCAGGAAGATGTGCGACAGGATCTCTGTGGCCAGCGAGATGCCCTCGTCGTATCCAAAGCGAATGACCTTGATGGCCTCAAACAGCCACGAGCCAAAGATTGCCAGGATTGAGTTGCCATCTTGGGTCACGGCCAAGAACATTGACACGAGTTGGTAGATTCCACCGATGGCCGTGGCAAAGATTGTCGGGTTCTTGATGGCGTTGGGGTTGCCAATGAAATGAAGTACTCGGTTCCAAAGGTAGACGAGGTAGTTTGGCTCAAACTCGATGGTGATGTCTTCCAACTTGACGGGAATGGTCGCCCGGCCTGCATAATCCTGTGTGTAGAGCATCTGTACGAGTGGTGCTGTGATTGACATGCACGTGAGACTCCACTGATGGATCGTTGGCATGTGGTGCAACCAGCCAAAGGCATATTTGTGCAGATTGTTCCAGAGCTGTGGGTTACGAGTGCGAGAGTGAAGCCACACCTCAAACAACACCTTGAGCAGGAGTGGACAGATGGAGCGCGCCAAGATCTCGTCGGTCTTTGATCCAGTGCTGAGTGTGCAGTCGGCCACGGACAACAGCAGCGTGATCCACAGCTCGAACGTCTCCTGGGAGAAGTTCTTGGAGAGTGCGCGGGCAATGTCCAAGTAGAGCTGCAGTACCTTTTGGCAGAGGATGATGTGTGTCTCGACGGCGTCCTTTGAGGGTGCCGATCGCGGCTGGAACATCAGTGTCAGATGCTGAAGGATGCGCTGCATGTAGAACTCTGAGTGGTCGTCGTCGAGGGGTGGTGGTCGACACTTGGCATCGAACAGCCATCGTTTATACAACTCGATACAGGCAAATATCGAAGGTGACTCGTCGAGTGGCAACAAGAATCCCTGTTCAACAATCTCCATCATCCATGACATATGCTCCTTGGTGGCCACTATCGTAGGCATTGAAGTCGATGGATCAAGTAAGAACAATGACACTACATGATTAACCAATGTCTTCTTTACGTTCAACGGGAACTCCTTTAGTATACCAGTGTCTAAATGATTGATTCAATGATTGAATGGGTTAGTGATTGATTGATTGATTGGTGAGTGAGTGAGTGAAGAGTACATACTCTTGTCTTGATCAATAAGATTAAGGCTACATGCCCAATCAATGAACATGGTTGTGTTTAATGTTTAGTGGTTAGTTATAACCAGGGCAATTACGCTTGTGTTCTGTTGAATAAATAAATATTATCTTGTGTATTCAAAAGACACAAGAATAGTGAAGTCGTAGTAGTTGTAATAATAGTTGTAGTCGTCTTTAAGAAATAAGCAATGGATGTAATAGATAGATGTGACTGACACCAAGTACTTTACTTTGGTCTAAGTAAGATGTGATGTGTTGTGTGTGGATTATTAGTGTGAGTCTAGACCCGAGAAAGTGGATTTAATTGACCCAGCGAAGATGGCTACACCTTTTTTTCTAAAGATCAAACCTTTGCGGGGGCACACGATCAGGCCTGAATCACAATACCCAATAGCTTAACAAATATTGTAAAATATCTAGATGCAAAAATGATGATATTATTTGGCAAAGTTTGCGAGCTTCAATGTCACCCGCTGCAAAGATCCCTCCTCCACTTACGATTATTACTTTGTGTGTATCCAATCACACAAAGTACATTATTTATATGTGTGTGTCACCGTGTAATCAATTGTGTTAATAGAGTGTTCCCTGTGAACACTCCAATCACACACACAACACCCACGCACACACTCCCCTTGGAATGAATCACATGAGATGCAGTTAGCGCGCGCAATCGGATTATGGTTTCAATCAAGTTGATTGATTGATAGTGGTTGAGTGATTGATTGATAGTCGCTGCACCTTATGCTGATGCTAAAACATCATCAGCACTGCATCATCCAACTATCCATCCATCCGCGCTGTCTCCACTCCACTGGCACTCGAATGGTCTATCTGTATTGTCTGTGATTGATACTTGATTAAAAATATTTGTATTGGTGTGAGATAGACAGTGAGTGAGAATGATTGAGTGAGTGAGTGAGTGAGTGAGTGATCAGGTGACAGTATCACAGATGCCAGAGCATGTGTTTCGTTGATCATTCAATCATCATTATTAACATACTTTATGTTCCAATATTCAATCCATTAAATTTAAAGAACTAGTACAATCTACTTGTGACATTGGGTAACCAATTAATTACATTATCCTTGTCCTCCCTCTTCGCATCCTCCCCTCATCTACTTCATCATTAAATTGAATGTATGTATCATGGTTGGAGATTGACAGATTCTGATCGTCCTCCATCAACATCAATCTTATGACATACTCATACATTCATTATTACATTATGAATTGTCAACAAACAAATCAAACTTTTATTAATAATAATAATAACAATGTTTTATTCAAGATTACAGTTTGAGGAAATGAAGAATATATTCAGGAGATCAGTTCAGATCTTTCAAAAGAAGGAAAAGGATAAAGATGGAAATCCAGTAGGTGGAAGTAGTGACAATATCCAACAACCAACAAATAATTTGATTAATAGTTGCGATGGAATACCTCCACCATCTCCATCGCCAACACTATCCCGCGACAATGGATCCCGCGAAAATAGTAAACGAGAAAAGAAAGGAAAACGACACTCCAAGTCAGTCTCACACAGCGATGTGCTCACTTCGGATCTCAAACAAAGCGGTGTCAATCTGCGAACGATCACCGCGGACATATACCTTCCGCCATCATCAGGCGCCGACTCACCATATGTCGTAGTATCCAAGCCTCGTTCATGTCCTGTGTTTGGCGTGCCTTTGGACGAGGTGCCCTGTCGCGAGGGCGCCTTCGTACCGATCATCGTGGAGAAGTTGGTCGAACACCTCGAGCGAACATCACTCACAACCGAGGGCGTGTTCAGGATACCTGGTCGCGACGTCACAATCAACGAGTTTGTTCGATTGTTCAACAGCTACGAGGAAGTTGACGTCTCTGCGTTGGAGCCATACACGGCGGCTGGTCTACTCAAGAGGTTCTTCCGTGACCTGCCCGTGTTTGTACCGTCACAGATCAACAAGCAAGTGGCGTCATTGTTTGTGGCCGAGGATGGCAAGAGGAAGCAGGTGGACATGGAGCTGCTGGAGAAGCTGAGGTTGCTCGTCCACTCACTGCCTCGCATTCACTACGAGGTGATGCAAGCACTGACCACCCTACTCAGCAAGCTACTTCAGCACTCTGAGGAGAACAAGATGTCCATCACCAACATTGCCATCTGTCTTGTGCCTACGCTCAACTGTGTGCCGGCAATCGTCACCTATCCGATACAGTATCACGACTTCTTCTATAATGAACCATTCGCCGAGCATTATCTTATCACGATGCGTCCGGATCAATTACCGGGATTGATCGAGCGACCAGAGACGCTCAACGAGTTGCATCGATACTCGCGACCAGCATCCATCACCGTTTCATCCACAACTACTGGTGGAGGTCAACAAGTGTCGCCCAGCGCAACAATCACCTCGACAACAATCACATCTCCAAATGACAATGCGACACCAATCACACTTACCGTCACCACAACATACTTGGACCAGCAGCAACAACAGCAACAACAGCAACAGCAACAGCTACAACAACAACAGTCGGAGGAAGTACAATATCAACAGTTCTTGGAGAACCTCAAGTATAAGGGTTTCAACAAGAGTAGTAGCGGTGGCGCAGGTGGTGTGGTCGTTGGTAGTAACAGTAGTCATGGTAGTAATAGTAGCAATGGTAGTAGAAACAGTGGCAACAACAGTAACAGCAATGGCAGCAATGTATTATATAGAAGGAGTGTGGCCTTTGGCAATGACCTGGAGCGGTACAGTGACTCTGGCCTAAACAACAATGTTACAAAGGCCAATATTCAACAGCTGAAGGAGAAGATCGACAGGTACTCCAAGGAGAAGATTCGCGAGTTGAACCAGCTCACGCCCCGTCGACAGGACGCCATTCCAAGCAGTGGCATCGAGCGCGACAGACACTCGCGCTACAGCATCGACCTGGACCGTCTAAAGAGGGAGATTATGGACAGGAGGTGCAGTCGAGACTACAGTCGCGAGATTGAACGAGAGATTGAGAGGAGGATCAGTCCACGCGATAGACTCTCAATGTTACTCAGCAGCAGTAGTAGTGGTATCCCAATGTCATCAGGCACTGGTGGTGGTGGATCAAACAGGAGTGCGATAAGATACAACAGGCAATCACCATCAAGGGATAGTAGATACTCTAGGGAGTATAGATACTCACGTGAGAGTGATAACAACAACTTTGATGATGACGTCGGAGGTGGCGACCAATCATTCAATCGCCAACAACGCTCTAGCAGCTGTCTGGACGACCACAGCGCCATGACATTGGAGCAACGATTGGAGATGATCAAGGAGACGATCAATAGTATCAAGAATGACCGTGAGAATATAACGGCCAGGGACTACGGACTGATGTTGGAGGTGGAGGAGATGCGTGCCACATTGCAAAAGGAGAGCGAGACATCAGAGTTCTTTGCCAGCAAGAGTTTGGAGTTGGTGGAAAAGCTGCGCCAGGAGGAGGAGAAAAATCAAAGATTGATGGATGAGATCCAGTTGATGGAGACATACTTCCATCTCAAGGAGAGGATCAAGAGAAGCAAGAAACAGCAGCATCAGACCCAATCACTGGCTGACATTGTATCATCTTCGCCATTAGCAGGTGGTCTTTCAACCTCTCAGACTCGAGGTCAAGCTCAATGTCCATTATAACCATCGATTATGTAAATAATAATAATAATAATAATAATTGTTAACTCACTTAAGTTGTTTGATTGATTGATTGACATGTTGGCGTTGGCATTGGCGACTAACAAACAGAAAGACAGACAGACTGGTCCACCACTCCGCTCCGCTCAACCATTCATCGCACCCCCAATGGTTGTGTGTTAGTTGAACACCACCACACCACTTGGCACTCTCACCTCAAGAGATGGATGAAGTTGGGTAGGTAGCACAATAACAACAAGTATGCAAGCGAGCGAGTGCCAGAGTGAGTGTGGGGAGAGTAAGAGAGAGAGAAATGAGAGTTGCCTTCGACGATCAGCTCTCATTAGTGATCCCCATCATCAGTCATTATTACTACTACTATAGTAGAGATATATTAATACAAACAAATACTAAACTTGTGATAAATGTCCTCCACTATTGACAGTTCATTCATAACAAAAGTGAGTCATCCAATCAATCAAACGATCAATCAATCAATAAACCTAACAAACAATCATGATTGATTGATTGATAGGCACATATACTTGTGAAGAAGGCACAGGAAGCAGAACACTTTGGTCTAATTGATGAGGCTATAGAGTTTCATCTACAGGCATCAAACTACTTCAACTTGGCAATACTACAGACAACCAATGAACAGACTATAAGTGCTTTAAAGATACTGTCACATAATCATCTGTTGAAATCCACAGAGTTGAAACAGTATCAAGATCTAAAGAGTACAGATGGCTCACAACAACAACATCTTTCATCATCGTCTTCCTCTGTCATCAATGTTGGCGCATCACCTGTGGCCCCAACAGATTCAATACCCAACATTGACTACTTCACACAGCCAAGCACATCACCCAACTCTCTCTGGGTTGGCATCGAGAAGCTGTTGGACATCCTGCCGAAACCCTTGATGTTCCAACGTCAGCGCAAGTCCACTGATAGACTGCCAATCGATGGTTCACTGCTCAACAGCTTCTTCTTTGTTGAGGCAGGAGAGAACAACAATAATCAAGTCAACAATGAAGTCGATGATGAGGATGACATTGATATGGATGACAATCGTGGTGTGCTGCCGCAGAGCATGGTAGATGTTGAGCAGAGTATGGAGGACTCTATGCTCAAGCTGAGGCAGGAGCTCAACCTAGTCAATCAAACAGTTAAAGTTCTAATCGATGAGAATGAACGCAATGCTAGGTATCTAAGGAACATGACACAAGAGAACGTCTACCTGAAGAGATGCATCATCCAGTTTCGGCAAGAGATCGAGAAGAAGACACTAAAGATGAAGATGAGTGATCAAGGACATCCTAGTTCATCGATGAACTCCTCCTCCTCAACAATACCAACTACTTCCACCAGCAACAGTAACAATACCAATCAACAACCTTCCACAACAACAATGTATGATAGTAATAATAGCCAACAACCAAATCGAACAATCACTTCAACACCTCCATCATCACTTTCCAGGCAAACAACAATCTTGTCGACACCGCCAAACAATGTTGTTCACCGACAACCAAACAATAGTAGTGCACTATTGTCTCCAATGTCTCATCATTATCCAACGAACTAGTAGTAAATAATACCATTATATATCTCCACTATTATATTTATTTATATTACATTAAGTTAAATTAATTACAATTCATAAAGTGATGGTCTTCTTTTCTGGAAAGTGATTGAACTGACTGTTGGAGAACGAGGTGAAGCTGATCCCTCCGCTGGTACATTGAATGAAGGGAAGAAAGTGAACATTGACAGCCATTTGATGAGGTTTTTCTTGAACTTCTTATTCTTTGACGAGTCCACTTTGTCTCCATCTTCATCCACCATATCATACTCACTGGCATTGTCATCTGATGCCTCCTTGGCCTCATCTGGTACATCATCTTGATTCTCTCCCGACTCTTCAATCTCATCATCATAATCAATGTTGTCCACCTCAACAACACTGTCACTACCCTCCATGAATGATTTAGATGCCTTCCTCTGCAACTTGATCTCTCTCTTTACACGTTTCTTCTCTTTGGTCTCTAGTCTATCTCTCTCCTTCTCCATCTTTGATAACTGAGGTGACATTGAAGGACTGCCCGACTCCTTATTCTTGCTGGACCAGAACGACAATGATCTTGACAATGTTCTCGATATCTTGCTCTTGTTTGGTGAGTTACCTGATGAAGTGGATGGCTCCTCATTGGCAGCCAAGAATTGATCAGGTGACATTGGTACATGCAATGGATTATGATTTCTCTTCTCATCATACGAGGCAGTGGCCACCATCTCTGAGGGAACATGTTGGACATCCATATCATCACCATTTGAATCCTTTCTCTTTCCCCCACTGCGGAGGTCACCAATAGTTCTTATTCTTTTTAATACAGGTCTAATTGACCTTAATGATTTACTTCTTTCCATTATTATTTATAACTAACTATCTAATTATACAAATATAATACAGTCTTTTGTTCTTATAACTTTTAGAGTAAGGGTCTCGTTCAGTGCGCTTGCTTGTGCCCATCATCATCATTCAGGCCAGCGCAACAACAACCACAACCTACCTTGATTCAACCATCCAACAGACCAACCAACCATTCAACAAAGAATAAAGTAAAGATTGGACCGTCACCTGCCCAACTTGTTGTTTAACCAACTCACACAAGTTCATTGAGAGATGACTTTGTGTTTGTGTGTATCTCTTTGTTGTGTGTGTTTGTGTGATCAAAGTGATAAGTTGATTGTGATTGAGTGGATGATGTGGGTGGTGTGTTGTTTGGTGATCGTGGCAGGTGACTCTATTGAAGTGGCATCCTACCACCAACCTAAATTAGAGTATGATCCAAGGCCTGATCAGAATCATCAAGGTTTGGATCAATGTATTACTGGTGTGTAGTACCTTACCTCTGAAGGTAGGGATTAGAAGGAGACCACTGTAGTGATCTACTCTGATCGCACTTCTAATCTCGATTTTCCCAAGATCATTGGTGTACAAATCAATCAATTTGATTGGATCGACTGATAAACCTTATATCTAATCAATCAATCAAACAAAACATACTCAAGGGAAATGTTTGATTGAATGAGTAGATGGATGTTCAACTTTGATTGATGTTGAGAAGGAGCCACAAGCTGTTTTATCTTGTTTGTGCAATATAAATGTTATCATCCATATCATCTGCATCGTCATCGTCATCTTGCATGTCCTCAACCTTCTCATCCTTTACATCCACAACCTCTCTCCTTGGAAGTGAGGCGATCTTGGCAAAGTATTCCAACGTGTACCTATTGTCATCGCATCTATACATCCATCAATCAATCATATTGTTAGTGAGTGTATGATTGTCATCCAATTCGAATGATACATACACTTGTGACAGGTCAGAGTATTGTTGCGCCAGACCCTTTTGCAAGTTTCTCAATGATTCAATCATTGAGTTACTGTTGGACTTGATGTATTTGCCATGGTAGGTCAATAGATGAAGGATCCAATTCATCTGGAACTCAAGATGTGGCTTTCTGTCAAAGTTATAGCTGAGGAACTGAATAAAGTTCTTCAGATAATACAGAGGGAACTCATGGCAAACGAATGCTACATGGTTAGGTGGGATGGCTTCATACACCTCCTCGATCAATGGTTTCTCGTTAAGTCTCAAACTCATCTAGATGTATGGTGTAATGATTCCAAAGTGTTAGATTGATTATTTGTGGCGCGCCATTCCACAAACAACAACTTACAATTAATGCTCGTAGATACTCCTTGTCGGCGAGTGTCGCACGGATTGTGTCAGAGTTGATATCGATTGAAAGGTCTGTTGGGTCAAAGAAGAGATTCTCATCGAGTGAGTAGACCATGAGTCCTTCAGTGGTGGTGGCTGCCCATGCACGACCAGTCGGTGACATGGCCAATCCATAGGTCTTGATCTTCTTCTTTGTGTTACGCTTGCTCATATCTCCACGTTTCACACCTGGTAGGTAATCATCCTTGCGCTGCTCTCCATCTTCAAAGTCGCGGTCCATCAAATCTGCGTGTCCAAACTCGGTCAGCTTGCGCCAGTCCAATAGATCGAGGATTCCGTCCAGCGACAAGTTGCCCGATGTCTGATACTTCTTGAGGAGAATGGCCTGCTCCACATGGTAGATGCATATGTACTTGCTGTCACCACCGGCAATCAAACATTGTCCGTTGGGTGTAAAGGAGATGTGTGTGAATGCTCTGCCCGCTGGGTTGGTCTTGGCCATCAAGTGATCGTTTGCGCCACGTCCTCCAGTGATGTCGTTCCTTCCATCGATGATGCCCATCTGAGTCCAGTTGGCTGTCTCAAAGATTTGGATCGAGCCGTCCAGTGTTGAGCAAGCAAGTCGCTGTCCATCGGGACTGTAGGCGACGGCCAGCACGTCGGACTTGTTTTGGATGGTCTCCTTGGTGGCACCATCATCATAAATGTCCCATATCTTGACGGTCTTGTCCCAGGAGCCACTGACCAGCAGCGAGTTAATGGGGTCGAACGACAGGCTGGAAACGGGCGAGGTGTGACCCGCCAGCACGTCGGTCAGACGGCCAGTGCGGATCGACCACACGTATATCTCGAATGTGTCTGTAGAGCCGGCCACGACAATCTCGCCAGCTGGGTCGATGGCCAGACTGCCAAACTGCGTCTTGTTGGGACTGACGAACGTACGGAAGTTCCTGTAACGCAACAGGTCGTATGCTCGCACGGTTCCATCCAAACTCGCGCTGTACACTGCGTTCTGACTGGCGACGGGCGAGAACTGCACGGCTGTAACGGGTGCCTCGTGATCGGAGAATGTGACAAAGCAATAACCAGAGGTGGTGTTCCACACCTTGACCTTGGCATCGTCACCGCCCGTTGCGATATTCTGTCCATCGGGGCTATAGCTCAGTGCCGACATGTTGTAGGCGTGGCCCTGTTGCTTGAGGATGTAGGTCTCTGAGCGCCACTCCCAGACGAGCAACTGACCCAGGTCCTTGCAGCCAAATGCCAGCCACTCACCAGTGTTGTTGAAGGCCACCGAAGAGATCGAGTGCGATGATATGTTGAGCTTGTACAGCTCCTGATTGTCTGGCATCCGGTACAATGTGAATTGACCATTGTTGTAGCCAACGACCAACAATTGTGCTCGCTTATGATACCTGGCGCACTTGACCTTGTAGCCCATGCCCGAGTCAAACTGCTTGAGACCCTCGTATCTCCAGCGACCTGTTGTCGCGTTCTCCTTCTTGGCCGTGGCGACACTGACGTTGCCCGACTGCGTTGTGACAGATACCTCGTTGCCATCTTCAGTCTTGGGCTCGATCAAGCCACCGCGCAAAAGCTCCTCATCAGTGTAGAACTTCCATTGAAGCAGTCCCTTTCTCGTCACTGAATGAACGACCGTACCCTCGCTATTTCCAAAGAATGTATGTATCGACTCTGAACCATGTACCTGGAACATATGTGATCTACGAGCATTCGCCTCTCTAATGAATATCACTCCACCCTTGCATGTGATCAATAACTTTCTGGAAGTTGTAAGTTTGATTGAGTGAGTATGGATGTCTGATGTGCGCGCTACTGGACCAGTAACAAACATACTTTGAATCATCGGCCCAATCTAGTGATGCTATGTTCTGAGCATGTTGGAAATGTGATAGACGAACCATGGGATTGAGTGACTTCTCAGCCAGTGGTGACTTGTAAATGAACACTCTATTGTCCACACCAATGGCAATCATCTGTCCATTTGGTGAGAACTCCATTGTGGCCGGTGTATGCTTGAACTTATATGTGCCAAGCTGTACATGCATCTGCATATTGACAATGATCATCTGTCCCTCTACATTGTATGATTGATTGATTGAGTGAGTGATTGAATGAGTGAGTGAGTTCATCATGATTGATTGATTGATTGAATGAATGGACATAACATACCCTCGTCAGAGGCAAGCAATATCCTTCCATTTGGTGATAGTGCCATTATGTTGATATCACGACGTGTTTGAACTGGTAGTGTAATAGAGGTATGATTGACAAGATCAAACACTGTGATCCTGTTGCCGACTGGACTGATGACATTGTTTCCATCGGGTGTGAATAACAAATTACCCCTGCTATACACTGTACCAAGAAGGTTAGAGAATCTATATCCAAACTTCATTGTTATATTATAAATATATATATGTATTTGTTAAAGTTAAACTAACTACTTCAAAAACGATTGACGATGATTATGAGTTCTGATTGTGACTCGTTCGTCAAACAACAATCACACACTATTTGATGATAATTTTAATTATTGTCGTGTTGACTTGGAATGAATGCAATTACTCCCATTCAGGTTCATTCTCACTAGAGTCACCGTCATCCTCCTCACTGGACTCATCTTCGTCCTCCAGTTCTGGATTGAGATCGAGGTCCAGACTGGCGAATCCTTGCTGTCCTTGCTTGTTGGGTTGTGTTGGCATTGTGAGGTTGCTTGGTGGAACCAATAGTTTGTCCTGTTGTTGCTGTTGTAACAAGAGTTGTTGTTGCTGTTGCTGTAGTTGTTGTTGTTGTAGCAATTTGGCAGATTCGTCATCGGCCTGTGAATCGGTATTGGTGTCCATTGCAGTGTCCAATTGGTCGCCAGCAGTTGGTGTGCGTTGTCCAAGTGCGATAGGGGATGCCAGTGCCAAGTCCTTCTCGGCCAATCCATAGAACCTTAGTAACTGAAGTGGAAGTCGAGCAAACATCATTGACATGCGCATCATCTCCTCCTGTGGAGCAGGAGGTTTGTACAATGGTATCAGCGGTAAGTGAGTCTGATATCCATAAGGTGCCGATGTTGTGCCACTGATCTTGTGTGCATATGATATCAGTTCCTCGGGATACACCTCCCTCTCTTTTGTATGTTGAATGGATAGATGGTCAGTTGTTGTGTTGAGTGATCAATGATGCTCATATATCTCAGCGAGTTAGTTACCTTTGATATCATCGCCTCTTGATGCATCTGATATTTCATTCTCGAGCAACAGCTCAGCTTCCTTCAGCTTTGACGCAAGGTTAGAGATGATCTGATCGTGCTCCTCTATCTCTCTTTGAATAGCCACTATCTCCTTCTGATATAGTTGATGTTGTTCCACTGACGAGGAGTGTCAATCAATCAATCATTCATTCATGCTCATTCTCTTGGTGACTTACGTTGTTTGAGACTTTGTTGAAGACTCTTGTCAGCCTCCTTTAGGAGACTCATATTCTGTAGAGGTAGCATCTGTTGCATTTGTAGTTGTTGTTGAAGTTGTGTTTGTGTCGGTGGCGGAGGTGTGGCCGCTGTAGTAGGCCCTTGAGACGGTGATTGATTGTTATATACAGGGTTGTTTACTGGTGATGGCATTGGTGCTGTTGCTGCTGCGGCATTTGTCTGTGCTCCAGTCTGTACACCAGTGGCACCAGATGTTGTAGGACCAGCTGCTGCTGCGGCAGACGTAGTAGTCTGTTGTACCTGTGACATCTGATACAATGATTCAAACAGTGTCCTATAAGCCTTATTGAACTCTGCTATATTGATACTGATGCGGTCCTTCATTGACCGACTTGGTCCTTTCTGTGCCATGTTTGTATGTATATGTGTGTCGTTTGTTGATTGATAACAATGTATGTATGATCCTGATTACCTCCTATGCATTGAGTAATACATGCATGTATCTGAATGCTTAGTTGATTGAATGACTTAAGAAGTTCATCGAAAGTGGCGCTAAATAACCTTAACCCTAACTTACCCTACCCTCGCCCTTACCCTCACTTACCCTACCCTTGCCCTCGCCCTCACCCTAACCCTCACTTACCCTACCCTCGCCCTAACTCAAATGACTAATAATGACACGATTGTTAAAGAATGTTAATGCTTTAGTTGCCAATGAAACCCTTGAGAGTCTCGAATGACTGGACGTAATCCTTGAGCTTCTTGCCGTGGACGTGATCGTGGATAAAGAAGGACAGTCCCTCACTGACTCCATACTTTTGCAGGAACAAGAGGATGTTGTCTTGGAACTCGGCCGAGGTACCAGCAATGTCGACTGGGTTGACCGGGTCGTTGAAGCCTCCGTAGAAGAAGCCAGAGACGGTGTAGCTGCCGTCGGCAGAGGCGAAACAGCCAAAGGTGACGGTGACGTCCTTGCCATCGACCTTGCGGGTGATGCAGATCTCGAATGGGTGGTCGTGTGGGGCGTTCTCTTGGCCCTCCTCGCCTTCCTCTCCCTCCTCGCCCTCCTCTTGCTCCTCCTCGTGCTCCTGCTCATTCTCTGGGGTCTCCTCCTCTTCCTCGTTTTGCTCTCCCTCTTCGCCCTCCTGCTCGTTCTGGTCGTAGTCCTCGTCGTATGGCTCTTGCATCTGCTCGATCAAGTCGAATCTAACAGTGATCTGAGCGCCATCCTCAGAAGTCTTCTTCAAGAAGGCGTACTCGTTATTATTTGAAAGCTGTTCCAATTGTTTGATTGATTGATCGAATGAAGAATGATTGAGTGAGTGAGTATGAATGCTCCCAATGTGTCTTGTCCAGGGTCAATTGTAGAATGATGTAATTACCTCGAATCCAGACTCATCCAAGAAGGTTTGGTTGTCCTCATTCTCGGGGATCAAGGTCTTGAAGTCGTTGATCTCAGTGTCGCAGAGAGTGCGGAGAAGGGAAGATGGGGTTGGTGCAACTGGGACGTTGTTGTTGCTGGCGTAGGTTCTGATGGCCTGAGTGGAGGTGGCCATTGGAGCAAAGAGCTGAGTGGTGATGCTTCTGGTGGCCGATCCAGTTGGTCTGGCAATTGGGCCGTGGTTGTGGTGGTGAGCAGAGATGCCAGCGACCTGGTAGTTGGTGCCACAGCATGTTCTCTGGCCTCTTCTGATGCCTCTGACTGAAGAGGACAACAATGAGCGTTGAGTGGAGAATGTATGAATCGAACGAGCAGACATTTTGATATATGTGTATGTGTATGTATGAGTGAGGTGGAGTGAACCAATTAACAAGATAGAGCTCAGTTGTTGTTGTTGGGCTAAGTGATGTACGCATTCGTTTGCAAAAACAAACCAAATTAAATCAAAATAAATGGGGGGGGAGTAATAAAGCCGAGTCGCGCATTGACAACCAACTATGAGGTGTGTGTATGTGTATGTTAGGGCAAGGGTAAGGGTTGGGGTATGGTAAATCTCCTAATCATTATGGTAAATCTCCTAATCATTATAGAATAAGACATAGACTATTATGTGGTATGTTCACTACTCACTCAACCTAAGTTCCCATGCTCTTTATCTATTTGATGAATGGGAAAAGTGTTCTGTGTGTGATCTGGGAAGTCTAAGACATTCAAGAAACAAGATGTACTTGATTCGTTCGTCTATTTATCTCCTGATTGATGGAGATAAGAAGGTATTAATGCGCATTCATTCAAGTAATAAAGTAAACAATGATTTGATTTTGTGTTTGGTCCAAACAACTAGCTAGCCAACTGCTCACCAATCATTGTTTTGAAACAACAAAACCATTGGGCCTTTTTGGCTAAAGTCCATTGAGGATCTGCAGATCCTTTAAGGATGGGTCGTGAGATCAGGGGCTCAACTTCGATCTGACAGTGATGAACAAACTTTTTCAAATTATTGTGAATCTGAACCACTTAATTTAATCCATCACATCATTGTCATTAATCACATCTTGATTCCGACCTCATCCATTGACTGACTTATCTCTCTCTTTCATTCAAACACACAATAAAACAAACAAATACACACACACACACAAGCACATAAGCACACAATTGATCAACCGCCACACCCCCACCAATCCTTATAACTGCATCCATCCATTCACTTAAAAAGCAATTAAAAGTAGATAGATAGATAGTTATAACAACAATAACTTGTAGTAATACACAATCAAACAAACAATCAACAAACAAACAAACAATCAAACAGAAATGGCAGATGTATCAGATCCAGGTTTACCAACTCAAGCCATTTGGGACATACCATTTGAGAACTTGGAGTTCAAGGAGAGGATTGGAAAGGGTTCATTCGGATCAGTGTTCAAAGGCAACTATCTAGGTCTCGACGTGGCCATCAAGAAGATCGAAAAGGCCGATGACCCAGAGTATCTGAAATACATCGATAGAGAGGTGTCAATGCTTCAGTAAGTCTGTCTTGACTCATGGGTCACATGACTCCTCTCACTCACTCACTCAATCACTCACTCAATCAACTCAACTTGATCAATCAATCAATGTAGGAGTTTGAGACATCCATTCATTGTACAGTTCTCTGGAATATGTGTACATTCGTCTGGTCTTTACATTATAACAGAGTTTGTCTCGGGTGGAGATGTTAGACAACTGCTCAAACAAACACCACCCATCACATGGGACAAGAGACTATCAATCGCCGTTGACTTGGCCAAGGTATTAGTATTCCTCCATGCCAAGAAGATCATTCACAGGGACCTCAAGTCAAAGAACATCTTGGTATGCATCATCCCATCCCATCCAATCCAATAGTCAATGACCATCTTGCTAACAATCAATCATGTGATCAACAACAACACCAGCTGGATGAGTTCCAAAGGATTAGACTGTGTGACTTTGGATTCGCGAGAATGAATGAACAGACAAAGAAGTCGAGACATATGACAATGTGTGGTACTGAGGGTTGGGTAGCACCAGAGATTCTACTTGGAATGAGTTATGACACCTCTTGTGATGTGTTCTCATATGGTGTCGTGTTGGCCGAGTTGATCACTGGTCGAAAGCCCGGTGTGGACCTCTGGGTTCGCACACCAGAGACCTGTTTCGATATCAATCCCGAAGAGCTAAGACAAAAGGCCTTACCAGGTTGTCCAACAAAGTATGATTGTCCATTGTCCATGGTACTCTCAACATCTCACTGACTCACTGACTCAATCAATCAATCAAATCTAGACTCATAGAGGTATGCTTGGAATGCTGTACATATGAACCATTGTCACGTCCAACGTTTGATGAGGTGTGCACCACGGTCAAGTCAGTTGTGATTCCGCCAGAGATTAAATCACCTGATGTCACTCCAAGCACGGCAACACCAAACAACAACATTAGCGCACCATCATCACCACCCGTTGTATCAGTCACATCAACAACCAACAATGCCAACAACAACAACAACAATAACGCAACAATCGCAGGCTCATTGTCACCAACATTGGTACAGTCAAGACGTGGTAACAACGCATTGTCACAACATAGGAAGTCGGGTGAGTTTGCCAACGCAGTACCATCGGGCGCCAACGACCAACAGCAGAAGGAGCTCAAGTTCAAGGCGGGTGAGTCGGTGATGAATGGCTCAAACTGGCGTCACGGCGAGTTGAAGCCGCCCGGCTACTACACTCTCAAGCGCAAGAACGATGGCGGCACGCAGACGGCCCTCACCAACCATCTGATCAAGATGGTGGAGCGTGCTACCAGCGACTACTGCTACGACACGTCATACATCCAGGACCTGCTGCTGACGTACCGCTGCTTCGCCACGCCCACGCAGCTGTTTGACCTCCTGCAGCAGCGTTACCTGTCGTGCTCGCTCGAGAACCATCAGCACCAGGTGGACAACTGGAAGCGCGTGCATCGTGTGATTCAACTGCGTGTGATCATCTTCTTCAAGCGATGGATCGACTACTATCCACACGACTTCCAGGAGGAGCCCCTCGTGGACAAGCTCGCAGAGTTTGATCGCATCATTGCCCAGAACAACTTGGCATCACAGAGTCTCACCTCGACGCTGGCTGGCTCCGTCGCCGAGCTGGGCGAGCCCAAGCTAGTGGCCGAGCTGACCAAGAAGCGCAACGAACTCTCACAGTCGACACCAATCCCATCGAATGCGCAGTTCCCCACAAGTGTCATCCCGCCCCCACCAAGCGGCGAATACTTGGACGTAGCCGATGTCAACTCTACCGAGCTGGCGCGACAGTTCACAATTATCAGCGGCTTCAACTTCTACCAGATCTCGGCACGCGAGTATCTCGAGATCATCTGGGAGAAGATATCCCAGTCGCCATCACCATACGTCGGCAGCGAGATGACGTCACAGCCCGGCGCCAACATCCACACGTTCCTCGAGCACTACGACGACCTAGTGCGCTTCGTCTCGACTGAAGTCGTCAAGCACAACAACGCAAGCAAGCGTGCCACTACCATTGAGCGATTCATCGAGGCCGCTGACAAGTGTCTGGCCCAGAGCGATTTCTCAAGTGTATTCTGCATCATGCAAGGACTGGCCAGTCCAGCGATCGAGCGTCTCACCGAGACATTCAAAGCGCTGAGCCCCAAGACACACGCAACATTCGACCACCTCAAGACCTTTGTGTCCAAGGACAATGATCACAAGAAGTATCGTGAGACTCTGAACGACGCGCAGGCACCCGCCATCCCACACATCAGACTGTTGTTGGACGAGTTGTTCTTCATCGAGACGAGCAGTCCCAAGCTGTTGCAGGGAGGCATCGTCAACTTCTTCCACTACCGACAACTGAGTCGCAAGATCCTATTCACTCAACAGCTTCTTGGCAGCGGACTCCACCAGTTCCGCGCCGTGCCCTCCATCCAAAAGATCCTTTCCAAGCCCCCACAAGAACTCTTTGATGATGAAGCAATTAGACATTACTCGCTGCTATGTGAGCCACCAGTGTCATTGTAAGGTGGTGGCGGTTATAGTGGACGTCCATCAATCAGATCCATCATTCATCCATCCATCCATCCATTCATCCTGGCAATATTTATAAATTATTGAACCAAAGTCAGTGTACTATATATATTACATCAGTGTATTGTTACTAGAGTTTAGATTGATTGGTATATGACCTGCACCTTCTTCCATTAAGTGATTGATCAATGTTGGATTTGATGTTATTCTCCTGTATGATTGAGTGATTGATTAGTTCTTTGTCCCATGATTGAGTGATTGTTACATATCTTACATAGTGGTAGAGCCAGCTGTTGATATCGGTTACATCGCCAGTACTACTTTGGATGTTGAGTCTGTGTCGTTGATCGGATGTACCTTGATCAATGGTGTTGAGTGCATCATGGTTCAGCACTTGGATCATACGGTCCACTTTCAATGACTTGTCTCCAGAGACGCCACTGGACGACACAGATGGTTTGATGAACTTTGGTGAAAAGACCACAGAGAGTTGTTGACGTCTGGAGGACTCTTGCATCAACTCCTCCAACGTATGGAAACGAGACATTTGTAACATTGTCATCCATTGTGGTGGCGGTAAATATATCGTACCCTTATCATGTTCCTCCAATGCTTCCTCAGGTGAGAACCAATCCATCTGAGTGTTCTCAGTGTGATCCACAACTGCATTATAAGGGTAACTTGTTATTGGTGCTAAGTAGAAGTACTATTATTGATTGAGTATGAGTAAGTATGATTGAGTGATCTTGTCCATTACATGTATCTTACAGTATCGAACCTATGCTTGTTGCCCTCTGGTGTTATCCAACGTGACCATTCCTTGATGTCCTCCAACTTTGGCTTGTCCTTGCTCACCTTTTGAAGGAACTCCAATAGATGTATGCTGTCCTTCTAATGTACGTTGAGTGTAAGCCGGTGAGTCAGTCTCCAACTCATTGTATGATTGATTGAATGAATGAATGAATGACACATTACCAATACTAGATTACGAACACTTTGAATAGTGTCCACTGATTGAGTCTCAACGATGGCGTCGTTGACACCACCGATGAGGAAGTTGGTCTCTTCAAATACTTCGCGTAGTGCTGCGATGCGCATTGGTAGATCGACTGTGACCTTGTCAAAGTATTGACGCCATTGTAGACTCTCATCCTGTTTGTCCAATACTCCACCGGGGAATACATGTGCACGAGGGAATACCCTCAGATCAGGTGATCTCTTCACCATCATTATACGATAGTCATAGCCAGTTGGAGGTAACACCCTATCAGCACAAGAGTATGGAGGTGGTTTGTTGAAAGACCATTTGAGTGCAACAATAACAGATGATGCCTTTCTAAATGATGTTGATGCTGCTGATGCTGTCTTTGATGTGGACATATCCTATTCCTATCCTGTCTTTCTATTCTATGTGTTGATTATGTGTTTTTTACAACAACGTTAAAGATAGATTGGCTCATCATGATGATTCAACAAGTTCTTCAAAGTTTGAGAATTCAGGAAAATTGTCACTTTTGGTTAACTAAAGGGTCAAGTTCATTCATTTGATATCACTCATTCAAGTAATAACACATACATATACATACATATACATACATATACATATATAAATACACTAGATAATGAAGTAGAATGAATACATCAATGGCAACTACAACAACAGCATCATATATGAATGATTTAAACTATGACTTGAATTCATCTGTGTTACTGTCACGAGATAGAAGTGATGAGTTCAACAAGATGAAGAAGAAGTACAATGATAGATTGAACAGCGATTTGGATACACTGATATTAAAGTTCAAACAGATCACTCTAAACGTTAGCACATTGCTTGCGGTCGACTATGAGGACAAGATGATAAAGAACTGTTGTGTGTGTGGCGTTGTCTTTGGAAAGATCTTCTCAAAGAAGCAGAAGTGTCTAGTCTGTGGCTACGCCGTCTGTGCCAACTGCAACAACCATCCACTACCCGTCAACAGCTTTGACAAGGTTAAGCCTCCTCCAAACCCTAACAAGCCCGTTCAAAGTAAGTTCGTTCATTCAAGTCCGATACTCATCCCGACGATCACTAACAAACATACCCTTCCCAATTAAGATGTAAATGTGTGTACTATATGCTACAAGACACTGAGCACAGCCATTGATAGGAATCAACATCAGATCATGCGACAGCGTGGATCATCAAGTGTGTTTGTGGAGTTCTACGAGAAGATGCATCTCAACATATTGGACCTGAGAAGGAACATCAACTCCTACAAACAAGTTGTACATACTATAACAGACTCTGCATCACCCAATATAAAGAGAGCCAAGGAGTTGGAATCAACCATCAACATACATCTGTCCGAGCTCAAGACCGGAGTCACCAAGCTGAAGGAGCTAAAGGGGCCAACACCTCGCCAGCAGCAGGTCATTCAACATGTTCATCACAGCTTGGCAACACAGTTGAACACTCTGTTGCCAGAGTTCAAGCTCTACAACACAGAGTGCCTCACAAAGATGAAGCAGACACCTGCCACCAGTCCAGCCAGTATCAAATCACAATTGACCAACGTCAAATCAGTTGAGCAATCACCAACCTCTTCCAGTCCACCCGCGTCGCCATCTCTCGACCAAAATGGCTCATCAGGCTCATTTGGATCATCAAACAGACTATCTACATTCTTCTCCAATGTATTTAACTTTGGCGATAACAACAACACACCTACCTCCAGCATCGGTGGATCAAACAGTCGAGGACACAGTCGAAGTGGTTCACAGGCCACATCATACGAGGATCTTCCAAACAGATCAGTGGTGCTATCTGTTGTGCCTGCCCTCTGCCCGCTGAATGGAGGTTGCATTGCGATCCAAGGAGAGAATCTTGACAAGCCAGTGATATCAGTCACTGTGGACGGTCTCCAGGCAAAGGTGCTGATGAAGAACAACTTTGCTCTTCTAGTGATGTGCCCACCACGAAGCGAGGGCGAGTATTTCCTAAGCATCAAGGATGGTGACAACCTTGTCACCAAACAATCCATCATCTACACAAACTCTTGCTTCAGCACCGAGAAGGACATTGACGATTCGAATCGATATGCGATGGACTACTTTAACAACGCTTCGTTGTCCAACTTTGAGCCAATCTCTGATAACATGGCCATGCACTCACCAGCAGTCGAGTCGAACAACTTTTCGTACGAGAATGACCTGAACATCCAAACGATGGCAGAGATTGTGGGCAGTCCCGACAAGGACATGGGCATCAATGATTTGGACGCCATTGCAGCAACTGGCAACAGCTTTGACGATATGGTCATCCAAAAGATTGAACCAGTGGTCTATACATCAACCGACAACAGGGTCACATTGTACTTGAAGTACTCACTGGTCGCTGGATCAATGCCATTGATATCAATCGATAGCACACCAGTAACTATCGAGTTGGGCAACATGCGAAAGAGTGTCAGTTTTGCCGCGCCACTCTCACTCAAGGAAGGCTTCCACACAATCGACATCATGTATCAATCAAAGTACATCAACATACCCAACATACTCTACTACCAACACGATCATTATACAAAGGGCAACTCAATGCCTATCCACTCGACCTCTTCATCATCCTCCTCAACATCTTCAGCCTCCAACTACTCACACAAGGTATCACCAACAAGTAACACTACTACTGCTTCTGGAGCCAAATCCAACTACATTGCACCAAGCGAACCAAAGGTATCCACTAGAGTATGGGGAAAGAAGGTATGATACAGTACACATGTCCGTCTATGACTTGAATTTATAGAAGTGTGGAGCAATCTCATAAAGCCAGCTAGGTTCAATTACACATAGCTCTTTCATAAACTCTTTGGTTGTTACAGTTACTATGTATTGGTGATTGAATGAGTGAGTTAGTTAGTGATGGGGTCGGTCTGTGAAGACTTGGAAGGGTAACTAACATACCATCATGGAATAGTACCCACTCTGGTGAGTTGACTGTACTCAGCACTGATGTTGGATGTATCCATAGTTTCTAGATCATTGTTGTTGGAATGGATGTTAGTCAATGTGTCCAGTCACCTCACATCATCATTTAAGCTTACATGTTTATCTTTAACAGTCTGGTACGAACCATCCGGTTGTAGATGGGCTGCATTGGTAAAGAATCCACTGACTATTGCCTTGCGTATTGGTACTGTCTTGTCTGGAATGTTCTTGTCATTGTTGTCTGTGATTGATATCAATTTGATCTGATACTTCTTGGCATATGCCAACAACTGTTTCCTAACCTGGACACACCGCAGCATCACTTTATAATTGATCTGGTTCTCATGACACCATGATGAATCCGACTTTGACTTCCTCGAGAATATATTGAACACTAAAGAGAGGTAAAGTAGGTAGTGTCTTTGATTAGATCGCTGTTCCAGCTTGTGTGTTGCCAACATCAACAAAACATACAGTTTAGGAGCGTAAGATGATCACCTTCTTTGACAGTGAATGATCTTCGAATGGATTGGGATTGATTGACAAACAATCCTTGAATACTGAGCATTGCGACAATTGTAATGATCTCTTCGCTGCAACCATAGTTCACTGATGATAAGATCATTCTAGAGAATTGTGGCTCCACAGGGAACTCTGCCATGATGTGTCCAACTGGTGTCGTCAGTTTACAATCGTCATTCAGTGCTCCCAGAGCATAGAGGACCTCCAGTGCCCTGATCATTGCGTCTGGTGGTGGAGGTGATACAAAGTCAAAGTTGAGAATGTTGTCAATGCCAAGAGCCTTGAGTTGCAAGACCACTGGTGCAAGATTGGATCTCTGTATCTCGGGCAATGTGTGTACAGACAGCTTGCTGAATGCCTCTTGTGTGTAGAGTCTGTAGCACTTTCCCGGTCTATTACGACCGGCTCGTCCAGCGCGTTGATTGGCAGAGGCTTGAGAGGTGGGCACCACGACCAGACTCTCAAGACCCGATCGCCCACTGTATGTCTTGATCTTGACGAATCCAGTGTCGACAACATATACAATGCCATCAATTGTGATCGATGTCTCTGCAATGTTCGTTGCCAGGATGATCTTGCGTACCTTGATGTCTGGCTTCTCAAACACCTTCATCTGCTTGGTCATTGGCAGACCAGAGTACAATGGAATGATCTTGTATGGTGATAATCGTCTTGACTTGCCATTTGCATCGCTCAGACGATCCTCCAGTGCTCGACGTATCGTCTCAATCTCCTCCTGTCCAGTGAGGAACACCAACACGTCGCCAGGTGGTTGTGTAGTATGTATGTCGACAATTGTGGTGGTAGTTGTATCGATATAGTTGACAGATGACTTCAAGAGATAATGTATGTCCACTGGGTAGTTCCTGCCCTCAATCGAAAGAATGACAGCAGTGTCCTTTGACTTATCGCCCGTCCTATTACTATTGAAGAACTGACACATATCCTCTGCGTCCAATGTTGCCGATGACACAATGATCTTCAAGTCCTTCCTTCTAGCTTGTACTCTAGGGTTGTTTGTTGTATGTTAGTCAATGATGATTGATTGCGACTGAATGCTATGACACATACTTCTTGAGTAGACCCATGAGTATGTCGGTGGGCAGACTGCGCTCGTGTGCCTCATCAATCATAATGACAGGGTAGCGAGAGAGTAAAGGGTCCATCATCATCTCGCGAATCAACATGCCATCGGTCATGTACTTGATCTTGGTGGACTCGGTGATTGTGTCTTCGAATCGCACTGCATAGCCGACTATCTCACCAATGTTTGTTCCAGTCTCTTCAGCGACACGATTGGCGACGGACATGGCAGCAACACGACGAGGCTGAGTGCAAACGATTGAACGTCCGCCCTCGGCCCAGCCCGCCTCCACGAGATATTGAGGTATCTGTGTTGTCTTGCCACAGCCAGTGTTGCCAACTATTACCAATGTCTGATGAGTCTCCAACAAGTATAATATCTGTCTACGCACTTGAAATATCGGCAGAGCAATCCTCTGTTGTGTGATTGATAGCTTCTGATTCGAGTTGAATACCAATAGATCTGCAGCACTGTTGAGTCCTCCTCCTGATCCACCATCATCATCTCTATCAAACATTGACAACCGATGTTGTTGTTGTGGTTGTTGATGTTGTTGTTGTCTTGATGTTGTTGATGAAGACATTATTAGTTAGAGATTACTTGATATTGGTATTTAGAGAGTTATGATACCAGATCAGAGGGAATGTGAATCTAGATCTCAATTCCAATAAAGTGAACATAGTTAAGTTCAATGTTGCTTTTATATTTATCTGTTCACTTTATAACAATTTCATTTATTATTTATCAAGAATGAATAATAACAACATCATACTGATCAATGGGTATGCCTGCTTGCACAACGTCCATCACATACTTATCAATGGGTTGGCACTCAATGATACTGAGAAGGACAGAGCCATCACCAATCTGAATGATCATCATGCCATAAAACTATCAATGGTGAAAGACAAACTTCATTATGTCTGGAATCAACTTCTTCGTCCCAGTCCTCAAACATCAGGTATGTAAATAGAACAATTATATTATGTCTTAATTAATTAATTATGTTAATATATTCAATCCAGCCCCTGGCTCAATCTCTGGATTTATAACAAATACTTTACCAAATTATCAATCTGAAGAACTCAACATCACTTCTTCTATTATGTCCAGACGAAAGGACACCATAGAATCAATTCTGGTTCGACTTGGGAAACAAAGAGTTGTTCTGGTTAGATCACCACCATTCACAGGCAAAACATCTTTGTGTAGCCTGATGGAGACCTTCCTCAATCAGTTCAACGATGTCGAAGTTGTCCACTTTAGCTTTATCGACAATATTCATCCGAAAAATGACACTACAGAGGAATTCTTCACTCGTCAATGGATTTCCAACACTGGACAGTCATGGAACTACTGGCTAAAAGTGGAGCCCAGCGTCCAGAAGAGAGTGATCATATTTGATGAGGCCCAATCAATCTATGATCGATACCCATCATTCTGGGCTCACCTCAAATGCCTTCTGGGAACTGGAAGTAGCAAGATCCACATTTTACTAATGTCAAATTATGCAGACGTCTGCGACATTAGGGCCACCCCGATTGCCTTTGACGAGGATCACAGTATGGACTTGACATCGATATCATTGACCCATCAAGAGTACCAAGAGATTATCAATTCTTTCAACAATGATCAAATGGTTACTGGAATAACTCTGCAATTGGAATCAATCGAGTTCTTGTGGAGAATGACTGGTGGCCATGTGGGTCTTGTCCGCCTGTCCCTTTATTCCATCGAGGACAAATACTTGGGAGTCAAATCAGCAAGTCCTCAAGACATCAATACATTCTTGATCTCTCAAGATTTCGCACAGACAGTGATCAACTCCAGAGCCATTCCCAAGATTGTAATGGAAGACTCTATGAGGGATATAGTTGAAAGGGTTTTGGCTTCCAAGGATGCTCCATTGCTACAATCATTTCATTCCCAGGTTCTATTCACTCTTTTCAAACTTGGTGTATTGACCTCAATGAATCTTGATGATTCTCCTAGGGTGTATTTTGCCTCACCATTGATCCATAGAATCTATTCGAATTGTATCTCCTCCAAGCTCACACCTTGAAGTCTCAGAGATCATTTGTCGAATCAGCCCTCATCTGACACAAGTTATTGCCGCCATCGATATTTATATCAAAATCTCTCTTCTTTTTTCTTTTCCCAGGATGCAGACTTAGGAGTCAACCATACTTTTTTTCTTATTCTCTCAACATCACAACAATACTATATTTTATATTATTTATCAGTTCAGATGTATGTCACATTAGAATTAAACTGTAGAGACAGTAGCACATCACAGTTCATATGGCTTGAGCAAGACTACACGGATATCGAAGGCTTTGAGATTGACGATGGCATCAACATTTGGGTCGAAGATGGGTACGGGCTCGCGCCTTTTACAAGACATCATTACCAAACTACGGATGTATTAGGTGTATCGAGTCTCATTGACACCATTATTGGTGGCCAACAAGTCGCTGTGATGATCATTGGAACTCTGAGTCCAAGCCAGGTTCAATCACTTTGTAGATCGTTTGGCAAACTTGGTGGACAACTTCTCGCTACCTATGGAAGCAATGTCAACTATTGCCTTTTGGGTCACAAAGGAAGTCCACAAGGCACTGCCAATGAAGCCATGGGAGACTACACAAAGGCCAAAGTCAGTGTCTCTTGCTCAACAAACCAGCTCAATCAGTACACGAGACGACTATCAATCAAATACGCAACCAAAACCAAGATTATTGATGTATACTTTGAGAACAAGCGTGTTGACCTTGGACTCAGTGATGGTTTGAATGTCATCGCTTTTGAAGATACCATGTACACCTACGGCTACAGACTTTGTGGAACTGTTCAGACGTTCAATACACAACTCTATGACAATGACTCCCAAAAGTTTGCCGACTACATCAACTCTTTGGACAGATCCACCATCGTGTTAGTACTGACACGTGGAGATGCGAAAGCCAAGCTTCATCAAAATGCAATCGACGCCATCAAAAGTCTTGGAAGCACTATGATCAATCAATATGTCAGTCAGCCAGATAATAATAGTTTTGTGATCGTCTCTAGAGCAAACAACCGGAGACCACTGGCAGAAGCCACATCCAACGGCCAAACACGCCCATATATTGTCTCTTTCACCCATATGTCCAAGGTAGAGTTCGGTGGTAGTGATATCACAAAAGCACAACAAAATGGAATCGGTGATATTATCATTTCTGCAGGGTCATCAAATCCACGCACTGCACCTGCTGGTACATCGAACTATTGTTATACTCACATACAATTATACCCCTCAGAGATCAACCCACAACAACAAGCTCAATCATTCGTCATGAGCTCCATCAGTGAAGTCACTAGCACACCATACTTTACCACTGGATATTTCCTCAACTCCCAAGCGGCCATAACAACAATGATAAATGATATTGGAAATATCCCCATTGGCAACCTTGTTGTCATTTGCTCCTCAACGCTCGATAGTGGCTTTATCATGCCCGACGATCTTTCACTGGCGTTCACCACCATTGGATCACAGTTTTCCTACAACATCACCTCGAACAGTTCATTTGTCGTTATTGGAAGGAAAGACGCAGCACCAGGATCAGTGGCCGAATCCCTCAACAATCAAGGTCCTGTTTCTGTCCATTCAAATTTCAGCAAGAGTCCAAAGATTGTCAAGCCATTCATTGAGATGAAGGCGGTATCACAAGTAGGTAGTCGCTGAAGGACATTTGCTAACCTAACTCCATCTGACTCTCGCTCCATCCACTCGACACCACTCTTAAAATAGCCTTCCTCACCTCAATCACAATTTTTTATCAATGCTGTTCCAATTGGTGTAATGCCTTCTTTACCCGGCCTAAATGTGATCATTGTGAACCCAATCAATGGTGTCCCTCAGAGATACTACAACTTTAACACGACACAGGTTGGAATTGGAAATCCCAATCCCTCCGCAGATCTAATGTCAATGTTGGATCAACAGAAGCCTGGTACCATTTTAGCAATATCCAGTGTTGGGAATGCCTCTGATTTCCTCACTGGCGAAGCCAAACAAAAGATTGTCACTCGTCTTGGTGCATCTGCCATTAGCTCATTCAACAATAATCAATCATATTGCATTATTGCATCCGTGCTTGATGCCAATGCCGTAGACTCCAAGCTCGTCAGTGAATGCATGTCGCCATCAAATGTAGCCACAACATGCAACATCAGATTCCCCGTTAAATCACTCTACAAGGATATATCTGGATATGCTTTCTGTGTGGCTTCATTCGCCAAGGAAGAGACCTGTCACATCATGATCAATGGTGATAAGAGCTCTTTTAATCCGTCAAACGGATTGAACGTTGCTGTGATCGATCCATCTCTCCCATTCCCTGGGAATGTGCAGAGATATAACTTCAACACATTTGACTACCCGTCAAAGTGGAGCACCCTGTTGACACTAATACAATCACTCAAGAATGGTGTGCATGTACTTATAGCAGTCAAGAAATCAATGGGCAGCATCTCCTCAACCACCAAGTTCGTCATGACGACAGCGCTGTCATTGATTGGCGCTTCTAGATTCATCGGCATCCCTGGGAATAGCTCTTATGTTATAGCTGGAATGAAAGGAACTCCCTCTGGCTCTGCTGCCGAGTCGTTCTCTGATGGCACATCTCAAGTTTGCATCTCATCGTGGCTACCTGCCCCACCACCTTCCACTCTCACATCTCATCAAGTAGCAGCAGAATATGGCCAAATGATGTTGCTTCCATTCAAGACACGCTCTGGAATACTCTCACAAAATAAGAGGTATTATTTGTCACATTCTCTTCTTGTCTCTGACTTTGGACTTCTTCCAACTCTGGAGGACCAACTATTAACTGTCCCACTCCTCAATGACTACTATATTTGGAACAATCCTGTTGCACCGTTGGACAAAGAACAAGCTGTAGGTAATGTTTACAAAACAGAGCCATCCTATCAATATATTCTCATGGATGGAAATTGAGATAATAATCAAGTATGATGATATGATTTGTTTATTATTAAGAGATAACCAGTTCGATGGTAATAAATATATATTATTATAATATAATGTAATGTGACTTAGTTGACACGTGGGATACAGACACGCACCTTGACGAATAGAAGTACCAGGAATGCCAGAATCATAAAGATTACAATGTTGTGTGCATGGTAGGATGATGCGTATGGCCACTGCTTCTCGGACTGACGCAGAGCCATTGGAATGAATGACCAAAGATGCCAGCAGGTCGAAAAGGCAAAGCCAGCCACGACCATCAGCAGCCACATCTCATCTTGGAAACAGTTGAAACGCAGGAATGTCAGCAGGATGGCCAGGACGTTGGCTCCAAACATGCCCAGATTGGCAAGGAACAGACGAGAGTTCTTGATCGTGTCGGACTCTTTGTTGGACGAACGGAAGGACTGCTCGGCCTTTCTTGGGCCTTTCTCCTCCTCGACGTCGCCCTGCTTCACCAGCTTGGACTGACGGAATCCTTCAGTGATGACGGGCTTCTTGACAAAGTCACGCTTCCAGTTCCACATGGCCAGCTTATGACGGCTGATCTTGCGACTCTTGAGCAGACGGACGATCGACGCCGAGCCAGCCTTCCAAGCGGAACAGTATGTGCCAGCAAATCCAAAGAATGTCTGCTCGGCTCTCCAGAGATCAGTGGGCTCGACCCAAAGAGATGGTCCACTCTTGCCCTGCTCATAGGGTCTCTTGGCACGCAGGATCATGTATTGAATGATTCTTGGCAAGATCATGACTGGAATCATACCCACGAGAATGAAGATCACAGGGTCCTTGACGACGATTGGCACTGTCCACAGACACATCATCAATGGGGCAATACCGTAGAAGAAGGCAGTTGGCGACAGGAATGGATAGATACACGAGTCCATGTTGTAGAGCATCTTGCGCCATCCAAGCTTGCCTTGAATGTACATCCAGGGCGTCAGCGAGAAGATCTCTACGGCACCCTGAGCCCAACGTTTACGCTGCTCCAGCGTCTCCTTGAGATCGACGGGCGCAGTACCGACCACCAGCACCTCGTTGTGGTACCACGACTTGAAGCCAGACACCTGCAGCTTCATACCGGTATACATGTCCTCTGTCACAGAGTTGTACATAATGCCTCCAATGTCATAGAGTGGCTGGCGACGGAAGATGGCGTTGGTTCCTACGAATGGGCAGGCGTTGTTGGCCGAACGACCCTCCATTACAGGACCGTAGAACTCCATGTTACGATGTCCCAACGGGTCGTCCACGGGGTAGATGTTACTGAAGAACTGGGGCGTCTGCACAAAGGCCAGCTCGGCACCCTCGTCACTGTAGAAGTAGGGCATCACACGCTTGAGGAAGTCGGGATGTGGCTGCTGATCGGCATCGAGCAGACCGATGAACTCAAAGTCCGCCTTGGTCGACTCGTTGAACACACCATTGTTGATGTTACCGGCCTTGTTGTGAGGAATGGGTGGCTTCTTGCGACGCAGGTAGGTGCAGCGGGGAGACACAATGCTGCCTGTTGGCTCAAAGTCAATACGCACATTTCCAGTTGACACCTCGTCGAATGGCAGCTCGTGACGACCCATCATGAGCACCGCGTACTGTGCAAGGTTGAGTGCTTCGACGTTGAGGAAACGCAGACGGTACGACAGGTTGTGCTCCAGGATGAAGTTCTTGACGTACTCCTTGCGCATGAGCACCGAACGGATCAGTGGACGGTACATGGCGTTTCCGTGCCAGAGTGACTGCAGCGATTCGATGGAGAAGTTGTCGATCATCTCACGCTCAGCAGCATCAAACGTGCGGTATGGCGAGAAGTGGTCCTCACGCAGCATGGCCAGGAACGTGCGCTCAGCCTCGGTGGGATCGTGCGAGTCCTCGCGATTGATTCCAAACCACGAGTTGAGCAGGAAGAACTCGACGAACCATTGCACCTCATTCTCAATGATCTCGCGGGTGGTCTTCTCAATGCGGTCGGAAGTCTCGCTGAGGATACCGTGTGGGTCTTCGTTGGGATGGGCGACTGGTGGCGCGATCTGATGCACGGCGTAGATCGAACGCTGCAGCAGCTGCATCAGGAAGTTCTTCTCGACGGACTGGAGATGCGCCCAACCACGCGACTCACGGAAGTTGATTGAGTCGTCCAGCAGACCGACCCAAAGGTTCTCGCCTGGGTAGTCCATGGACATGGTGGTGCGGAATGTCCTGGATACGATGGAGGGTGGCTCCTTGTAGGTGGTGATGTACATCATGACGGTGGGGAACTTCTTGCGACGCTTGGTGAGGATCTGCTCGAGCGTGGTGACCAGGATCATAGTGGCCGGGTTGGTGAAGTTGTTGAAATGCAGGATGGTGGCCAGGAAAGAGATGAACTCGACGGCGTAGAAGATCGCCGAGAAAGCCATCGTGAACATGTCGAACGTGTTGATCGTCCAGCCAGCACGGTATGCAAAGTAGAACAAGTTCCACACGAGGAACACGGCCATTGTCGCCTGCAGGATTGTGTGCGAGAAGTACGGCTTGAGCTCAAAGACCACCTCCTTCTTCTCCTCACCAATGATTGACTCGAGCGTCTCGAAAGACTGGTCTTGCATCGTGTTGGACGTGAGCTTGCGCCTCAGATTGTGTTGGGACTTCTTCTTGGTCAGTGTACCGGTGGACGCGCCATCCTTGCCCTGTTGCAGGAATGCCTTGTGTTGGCGGATCTTCTCCTCCATCTCCTCGGGCGAAAGGTCCGGGTCAAACATTGGCTCAGTGTCCTGCTTGTCCTTGGACGCGGCGGCCAAGTCCACATGAGGTCCGCTGGATGAGGGACCTTGCTGGCTACGGTCGTCGCCGCCATCGGTGATTGGCAGGCCCTCGGTGACGTTCTCGCCAACGCCACCGCCATTGAATCCATCACTGTTGCCAAAGTCCATTATAGTGTTCTTCTTCTTGAGTATGCCGTTTGATGTGCCCTTGATCTTGCGCTCAGAGTCCTTTCTGCCCGAGGTCTTCTTCTTCTCTCTGCTGTCACTGGGCTTGTCCTTGGTGTTCCACTTCCACTTCAGGTTGTTGGACGATGGACGTGGCTTCAGGTTCCTGTTGGAGCCCGTGCCACTGATGCCTGACATTAGCATACTGTCATTCCTATGTGCGCTACCATAAGGTGAGCGTAAATTATTACCAAGCATATTGTTTGGGTTGCCGCTTGAGTGAGTGTTTGTTGTTGTTGTTGATGTTGATGGAGTATTAATTGGTATATCTCCATCACGGCCTATGCCGCCACCATAAATGTTGGAACCTTCATTCATTTCCACTAATATATAATCAATCATTATTGTATTAGTATTATGTTCGGTTCCATGTTTGATTAAATCATATAACTTACCTTAAAAATTATTTTCCAGGTCAACTGGATGAGTGTGTGATTGATTGATGGGAGGTGATTGGAGTGATTGAGTGATTGAGTTATAGGTTTGTTGGAAAGGGAAGGAAGTACCAACCTCAAGGATACCAAGAGATAGATTTAAAGGAGATTGATTGATTGATTGATTGATTGAATGAGTATGAATACGAATGAGGGATGAGGTTGACAGGGTAGTTTTAAGTATTAATGACGCTGAACAACAGAGTAGAGTGAGTATTTTAATTGACAGGACAGGACTGGACTGGATTGATTGATTGATGGTTGGCTGTTGCTGTCCGGATATTGATGGTACACCTACTCTCCCTCACACGCACTCCACACTCCACACACACACATACAGGTAGATAATGTATAAAGGACTTCCCAACAACGATTGTTAAAGATGTTATATGCATGGACGTGCTTTTAAGCGAGGGATGGTGTGTTGCCATGGCGCCCCTCCACCTTTTAAGCAGCTGCTGCTGACTGCTGTTGCTGACTGCTACTACATATCGGGTACAGATCATCCAACAACAACATGATCAGCTGCCCTTAACGTCAAACAGCTTGTTTGACACGATTACGAATACGCGTCAACAACAATAACCAAAAGGTGTTATAATTGATTGATTGATTGATTGATTGATTGATTGATTGATTGATGGATGAGCGTTTGTCATCCATTAACATCATTATTGAGTGGGTTAGTGAGAGTGTGGATGTGTGTGTGTGTGTGATTGGTGGTGTGATTGATTGATCATATGATGGTTGTCCATATCCAGTATTTGCGTGTATTACCGAGAGATGATGTATGTGGGGTGATGTGGAAGAGTGTGAGTGGTCACTCTCGTCCTCAAGTGATGTGTCACTAAATCACTCACTGACACTCAACAACAACATCATTAACATGGGGGTGTGGATCAGTGTGACACACAGCTGGTCGACCAAACGAAATGGGCCATACACCAACCCATGTCATCCAACATACAGGACATATATATATAAAAGAGAAGTACGTAAAGTGGTCGACATGCGTTGGAACTGCCAATATATATCTAATAGGTTGGACAACAACAACTTGTGTGTGCGTTGTATAATGATGTTATACTGTTGTTGACATTCACACAAAACATATACACATAAACGACGTTGATTGATCGTGTGTTGATGGTTGAGTGTGTGAGTTCAAGTAATGATAAGGTAAGAGTTTGAATGTGTAGAATGGTCGACCATAATGTCATTCATTCGGATTACCACGATTCAGACCTAAACAAACCACCGCCATGATGATAGCCAGTAAAGGAAAAATGTAGTGAACAAGAGGTCTCTACTTAAAGTACTACTCTGAACTAATGAATGAAGGTGTGAGTAAGTAAGTGATTGATGGATTGATGGATGGTGTCAATCAATGGTCGTTGACAGGTGTAGTTGCCAACCGACGCAAATCAATCACACCATCCTCCTCTATCCTCAATCTTATCTATACATCACCAATGTCATTCAACTATTCTATTCTATCATTCATTCATTCATTTCAATCAATATTGTTTATAACATTGTTATTATTATTTGAGAGAAGACAACAACAATAATAATCAAGCATTGCATGCATTGAGAATGAATGAGATGAGATGAGCTATGAATTATCTTATCTTTGCAAAGGACACCAACCCATCTTTGAACAATGTTAGTGAATGATGTTGAGATCACCATGAAAACACCATACGTCAGCACACCTACCTACACCCACCACATCTAAGTGTGCCGTGTTAGCTGAACAGGTAGCGACCTAAAGTGAGTGTGTATGTGTGTATGTGTGTTGACTACTTTAGTAGTGAGGATACTTGTACTCTATTCTCTCTCATTCACTCACTCACTACTTGATAATAACAATAACAAACATAAAGTGAGATAGATCTTGAGGAAGACTATACCTCTGTTCTAAAACTATTAATGATGATACAATCAACATCTTTGGATACTCTTCCACTTCAAAGTTCATCTGTATACTTTGGTAGTGGTGGTGACGTTGATTTAGTTGGCACTTCAACATCATCATCATCATCATACATATTCAACAACAATGAAGATAATAATAATAATGCCTATGATATAATCATCAATGGTATCGAATCAATAGAAACCACAACCTCAAGTAATAATCTTTCATCAACTCCAAAGACAACACATACTCGACAACAACAACAATCAACATCATCACCTTTGAATATTCACTCATTGTTGGTATCCACTGTACATACACATGCCAATGATCCAACCTATACAGACTTTAAACATCTAAATGAATGATGGAAATCAAACATCTTCATCAACATCATCATCAAAGTCAACAACTACAACATCGACTATTACAGACACTCCAATCAATGATCACACTGAGTACCAACCTCGAAAAGGAGGAGTGATCAAACTAAACGTTGGTGGACATCTCTTCTTCACATCGATCAGCACACTGTGTGCCGAGTCCAACTCAATGTTCTCGGCAATGTTCAGTGGCCGCTTCCCAATTCAAACAGAGGAGGACGGCTCCGTATTTATTGACCGCGACGGTACACATTTTCTCCACATACTCAACTGGCTGCGCAACAAGTACATTCCACCAATCAACGATGACATTGTCAAGGAATGTCTCATCATCGAGGCTAAATACTATCAAATACTATCGCTTGTGGATCATCTGTCGGCGCCACCTCCCCCATCGCCAAACCCAAACAAGTTCTCTCAGAAGGAGTTGATCGTGATGCTCAATCAAAGTCATCCGAGCCATCCCATTCAACTGGCCTCTGCCGATCTCTCTGGACTTGACCTCAGCGGGCTATCCTTCCGCGGAGCCAACCTTCGCTTTGCCAACCTCGAAGGATCATCACTCAAGTACTGCGACCTCTCATCTGCCAATCTCCAAGATGCCAACCTCAAACGATGTGATCTAAGATACTCTGATCTATCTCATGGGTATGTAGTTGTTGTGCTCAACTATGTTCCTCGCTCATTCACCCACTCACTCATTCATTCCAATCAAACACATATAGTGACCTTCAGAGAGCTCAACTCCAGAACTCCCAATTACAATATTCAACAGCAATCTCTTGTAACTTCTCTGATGCCGAACTATTGGAGAGCTCACTTCAGAATGCAGACTTCCAAAACTCGCAGCTGAGTGGCGCCAATCTACAGTGTGCCAATCTGCAGGACATCAACCTGAATGGCTCCAAACTACAGGGAACTTCATTGTATAAAGCGATCAATGTACAGCGAGCCAAAGGATTAAAGAGATAATCGATCATTAGATTGATTGATAGGACCTTCTATCCAACCATGTACCATTGATCAATCGCCTAAATATTTTATTATATTAATCATCAACAACATCATGTCATCATCATCATCATCATCATCATCAATCATTGGTGATGGGAACACTGACGAATCACAATGACTGGCCGGACGACCAGTCAAACCAATCATTATTGACTTTCCTCCAATCAATCATTCTATCAATGATGGATCACTGAACATACATATGTTTGATCTGATCATCTACAACATATATTCCATAGATCATGGCTGAATTGTAATTCGTCACTTGATTATTATCTCTTCATCACAATCAAACACACACTCAAACACCCACATATTTGATCGATCCAATGATGACCATAAAAGGTAGTATTATTATTTGTGTATGTTTGTAATATGTACATTCTATTATGACCTATCATTGTAATAACCATATCGTTAATAATAAAATATATGTAGTATGGTCATCCAAAGACCATCACCAAAAAAGGAAAAGGGAAGCTATTTAATCGATCATCCAAAGGAATTATACAAATCATCCAGTCAATCATCCAAGATTATTCTGAACAATATCTACCTTCGTAACACTACTATCTACTACTATCACTACTACTACAACGATGTCAATCAAACTCTTTACCATCTTGGTCGTCGCCTTGGCCTGTATCTCAATGTGCAATGCTGATTATTGGAATCCAAACAACAACAATCAACAACAGCAACAACAACAACAACAACGTGATGGTAATTGGAACAACAATCCAAATGTCTATTATAACGCCAACGGATATTTCGCCCAGAATCGCAATGGCAACCTCCAGCAGCAACAGCAACAGCAGCAACAGCAAATGGGAATGGGTCAGCCCATCTACAGAACCTACCAACAGCCAATCTACAATCCCTACAACACATATCCTGGCCAAGTCTTCATCTAAAGGACTAAACAAGGGATCTCGGCAATAACGGTGTGATTGATTGATTGATTTGATTTATTATTAATAGATACATTTCGGAAGATGACTATTACTTTGCAACCAAAAGTTCAATAAACATGTTGTTATGTGATCAATCAAAAAAATCGAATTCCAATCTTGGCATCACATCTCGCAAATGGTAACCGGTTGTCGTTTGCAGACGCAGATATTTTGTCAAAGTGAGAGAGTACAATGTTATGAGTGTTGTTATTACATCTGTACCTCACTTCACATAACTCATCATATAAATATTTATAATAAGATAGAGATAATCAATCAATCAATCAAACAATGGGGAAGAAGGTTGCAGCCACAAAGGTGATGATGACACCAAAGATGATACTGGCGATATGTATCTGTATTGTGGTGTTGACGACAATGTACTCAATGAAGATGATTAGAACTAAATCAATGATTGAGACATTGGACGATGACCCAGATTATCAACAATCACAACAACAACAACAACAATCACAAGAACAACCACCTTTACTATTACAACCTCATCAACAACAAGTGTTGGGCGTGGATACTAGTAGTGAACAGAGAGTACCTAATCATGTGCCGCGTAGGTTTGCCCCGGTGAGCAGACCGACACCAAAGCCACAGTTGACATCGGAGGAGTTGGAAGCAGAGGAAAGGATCAAGAAGGAACAGGCCATCGCCAATGAAGCCGAGCGAAAGGTGTTGGTACAACGCGTCTTCCAGGAGGTGTTGGACGAGCGCGAGATGATCTCTGCTATCCAGGCCGACAAACACTCGACCGTTAAGTTGCCACAGTATGCGGTTCTTCCTTCTCTTCCTTTCGACTACCGTCCACTTGATCAAGAAACCGACCAGCAGTACCTGCTCGACAACAAGTGGAAACTGAAAAAGGAACTGAATCCATTCCTCTTGCAAAAGCCTCATATATTCGTTCACATTGCCAAGACGGCCGGCTCATCACTGGGCAACATCTTCAAGAGAAACGAGCGTCGTGATCAATTTAGTCACTACTGGGTGCACCCTGGCAAGCACGAGCTGGAATTTGTCGCCGGACACAAGTCCACTATCTTTGGCCACATTCGCTTTGGACTTCACTTTTACTATCGCGACATGCATCCAAATCGTGTGACACTGCGCGACGACGGTCTCAACCCATACTCCTACATGACAATGATGCGCGAGCCCGTCGACAGGGTCATCTCACATTATTATTATCATCGTCAGAATAAGCGCGATCCTGGTCATGCTCTGGCCATGAAGTACACACTCCAAGAATGGTTGGAGCGCAGTCCAGCCGCCAACAACGAACAAGCCAGGATGCTATGTGGCGTAGCTCCACCCGAGTACATTGATAACGAGAGCCTTACCGAGACATGTGCTCACCATCATTTGAAATAGTATGTGTTGTTGTCGTCACTACCATGGTTGAACCTGGACGACTCTAACCAAACCTCCTCTACATCATATAGTACTTATAAGTTTGTTGGATTAACGGAGAAGTTCCCAGAGAGTCTGGTGTTGTTGACACATTATGCAGGATTCCAGGCGATCAGATTCTCAAAGATCAACACTGGAACGCAGAGACCCAGTGTGTCTGAGGTGCCAGTGGAGATTGTCGAAGAGATCAAACGAAGGAATTACATGGACATTGAACTATATAATATTGCCAAAGAGATGTTCGAGATGCAGATCGATGCAATTGGTCGCGAATTCGTCGAGCGAGAAGTTAAGGAGTTTAGAAAGAGAATAAAGGTGCTGCATTGACGGTCAATCAATGCATGCATGCCATGTTCATAGAAAGAGAGAGAGAGTTGATTGATTGATTGATATATTTGTATTGTTTAGCCATACATCATGCTTACTTTGGTGTCGAGATGTAGTACTGAGAATCATTGTTGTTGTTGTTGTTGTTTGATTGCTGCTGACTGTCTATCTCTGGCACCTTAAAGTTGAGTGATCTTCCTACTTGGTAAACCTTATTCAACGTGTCATCAAACTCCTTGTTCTCAACCAACTGCAGATACTTCTTGTACAGTGCCATGGCCTATTATCATGTTGATGATGTCAGTTTGGAATCCATCTTGGAATGATTGATTGAATGAATGAATGTACTTACAGTCTTCGCATCCTCTATACTACAATGAGTCTCTGTTTGGATATCTGTCTTTAGAAGTATGTAGGCTAGGAAACGGAGGGATAACTTGCGCTGATTACGTAGATGGAACAACTCGACAGTGTCAATGATTTGCTCGGGTGGCACGTACATGTTGATGATCCTAAAGTCCTTCTTCAGGCCGTGTCCGACAAACTTGACGCGCTGATCTGCCAGGTAGCGTAGCTTCAGGTACACCGACTTGAGACTGACCAGGTTCTTGGTGGTGAGCTTGGTGTCGAGATCGCCAGGCTGGATTCCAGAGAATCGCGTCAGATAGTCCGTGACCTGCTCGACCGATTGGATATAGTCGTCAAAGAAGCATTCCTCGTTCTCGCGCACAAGACTGACACGCGCCAGACTGAAGTTGCCGGGCTGGATGATGACACGCTTGCCATCGCTGCTGACCTCGGTCTCCTCAGGTCCAATCGAAACAAACTCTGTGTCAATGGCCACAAGCTCCTCTGTCTTGGGCAGCGTGGCCAGTGTGGGCGGCTTGAACGACGGGTTCTTGGTCGTCAATAGGTTATTGGCCATGTACACCTCCTTTGTAATTGGCATGATGACGGTGGGCACTGGGTCCAGTTGCTTCTCATAGCCAACACGGCGGTAGAGTACCACGGCGGGCGACTTCCAGTTGGAGTCGAAGTGTGTAACATCGTTGATTGAGCAAGCCTTAATCTTCAGGTCGTTGAAGAGGTAGTAGCGCGCCGGCGACTCGTCGATGTAAAAGTCTGACGCGCGTATGTGCGTCACCAGATGGCCCTGCTTTGGCAGTCGCTTGACCTGGTCCTTGATCAGCGACATGTTGGAGATCAGCTCGTAGAGCTGTCCACTGTTGCCATCGACGTCATCCTTTGCTACTGCGGCGTCTGTACAATTGTTTGGATACTCGATGATGCTGATCACATTGGACTGCGTGTCCAACTTGATCCTTATGCGTGTGGGCAGCCACGTGCGCTCGTTCTCAAACGACATCTCGTGAGTGGCGGGCTTGACTACGCCTGGGGGGGCGTTGGCCGTGTAGCGCCAATAGTCCTCGTGCTCCTTCTTTGAGATGTTGGCGTTCAGACACAGCAGGTTGGGCAGTGACTTGGGGAACTTCTTCTGATGGGTGTTGTAGTAGTTTTTACACTTGTCGCACCATGCTGGAGTCTTGACCTGCTTGGACAGACTGGTCTTGAGTATGTTGGAAAATGTGGCGCCCTCTGGACCGAGCTCCTGCACAGAGTTTGGATATGCCATGTCGATTTGGAAGTGACGTGATTGCTTCTCGTACGTATTGCCACAATTGATGCACTTGTTTGATGATACCACATTGAATCCAAACAATGTATCAATGATTGATTCGGGATGTTGTTGTTGTTGTTGTTGAAGTTGTTGTTGTTGCTGTTGCTGTTGATGGTGATGTTGATGATGATGTTTGTTGTGATGATGATGTTGTTGCTGTTGATTGGTGTTGGTGGATGACTGCTGTGTGGCTGTTGTTGGAACACTTAGTTCCTTATTTATCTGTTCGAGAAGGAATCGATTAAAGTTGGCGGCCAATTGAGACAAAGGTATTGGTGATTCCGGTTGATCCTGTGACAAGTACAATCCAAGTGCCACTGCCTGTGGTAGTTGTTTGATCACTCTCAAAAAGTTACTTGTCTCTACTGTCTTGCCTCTACATCTCTCAATCATATCTAATGAATGATCAGGTGATCAGGTGTTTGATTGAGTGAGTGATTGAGCGAGTGATCATGGTCCAGTAGTATTACACATACGGAAGATGAAACCGAGTTCACAACTTAGACAAGTGTTCTTGGAGCATAGATGATTCAATAGAGCGTTGCGTATATGTGGTATAAAGTATAGAGTTTGAATGCAACTGTTGGAATATGTACTGGGCAGACTGTTCTCAAGTCCAGAGAACTTGGTCTTGTTGTAAGATCTATGGAGTGCGGTGATGAGTGATTAGTGAGTGAATGAGAGGATCACGGAGCATCTGATTGATTGATGACATACGACACATCAAACTCCTCTATTCCAAGTTTGATACCCATCCATCTGTATGCCTTTGGTGGCCTGACCTGTCCGATTGATGACTGTGTGAATGTATGAATGGATGGATGTTAGTTCAACAACTCGAGAGAGAGATGATCACATGATGTATACATACCAAGGTAAGGTTGGCGATGGTCCTTTGACTCGACTTGCCATCTTCGTAGGTCTTGGAACGTATCTGTTTCCTTGAGATTCCAGTGTTTGAGATGTATCCGACAAAGTCATGTTGCTTCAAATGTACGAGAAGGGAGGGATTGAGTGGACGCTGTGGCAAGCCAACGGGATATGATAGAGTGGGCTTCCAGTAGCTGAGCAGGGATTGATCGTGCTGGTCTTGGTAGAAGGGCACGGTGGACAGGGGCCAGTCCTCCTCCATGCGATTGCCATTGGTGAAGTGGGGAAAGTCGACAATGTCCAGGGGGAAGCTGTTGTTGTTGACGTGGATGTTGTCCTTCTCGCCCCACTGATGGATGACGCTGGCGCCATCGCCAAATGCCATGACGTCGCCCGTCGAAGAGACGTCAAACGACGTGATGTAGCCATAGAGTGAGTCGATGTTGAAGTACTGCGAGTTCTGAGGCGCAGCAGCCGCCGCCACAGGGTCCACCTGGAGCTCAGAGATCTGGATCTGTCCGCTAATGTCTGAGGCTATCGCGATCGATTGGTAGTAGCGTGGATGGAAGCGTACGATTGATGGTCGCTTACACTGGATTGGTGGCAGTGGTCTCAGTGTCTTGACGTCAAACACCTTAATGACGGGGTCGGCAAGCAGCTGGCCGCTGCGCACTGAGCAGCCACTCGTGACCAGCATGTCGCCCTTGATATCTGCACTGCGCACGTCGGCCTTGTGCGCGCTGAACGAGTGCTCAATGCGCCACGTGACTGGATCCAGCATGGTGATGTCGCCATTCGCCTGACCGCACCATACTCCGCGATCTCTGTTGAGCGTCTTGACGGGGCAGGGCATCTGCACCTCGCGGACAACGCGACCTGTGTAAAAGTCGATCACGTACAGTGTCGACTGGTCGGAGCTGACCACAAACTCTGTGTTGTCGTGCTTTGAGTATGAGACCGCTGTCAAGTCCTTCATCCTGTCGTTCTTGACGTTGTAGATCAGTGCGCCGCCACGAGTGTAGAAGTTGACGCTGTTTGAACCAACACATATCACACCTTCATAATCAATCAATATATCCTTGATTCCAGAGTTATTGTTGTTATTGTTGTTGTTGTTGTGATGTCCCGTTGTTGGGCTCGCAAAGAAGCTAGAGTGTCGCTCCATTGTTGGGTTGACCAGTGATGTGACCTTGCCCTGTTGTATGTGTGTGGCGAGCTAGGTGGTCAGTGCTCTGCCACCTCATACACGTTGATGGATACAAACGTTTTGGTAGCCAACCCAGAGTAACTCCATCCAAGGGTCGAAGCGAAGTATGTTTGGCGGGTTAGGGACGGGATTGGGAGAGGTAGTGTGCTCTGGCACAACTCTCAGCTCAAACCAACTCTCATCTCCATAGTAGTATTCATCTACATATTGATGTGGTTGTTGTTGTTGTTGTTGTTGTTGCTGTTGCTGTTGAGGTGAGTATTGAGTTGGTGAAATAACCTGTTGTTGCTGTTGAGGTGAGTATGGTTGTTGCTGTTGCTGCTGTTGGGGAGAGTATTGTCCAATGTATTGTTGTTGCTGTTGTTGCTGCTGCTGTTGTTGTTGATGTTGAGCAGCCAACAACTGTTGTTGCAAGGAGTAGAACTGACCGCTGGGTCTGAACACTCCCGATGACTGACTGAGAGGAGTGCTTGTTGAGCCATCCCTCTTCTCAGGGGTGTCACTCATCCTTATATATTATGTTTATGATATATCAAGTAGGTTTGGTAGTAGTAGTATTATATTATGATTATATTATTATTGTCATCTGTAACATTATCTAGATCATCATCATTTATTATTGTTGTTGTTGTTAAGTGTGTGAATGATGATCACCAAGAAGAAGTTCAAATTTGATCAGAAGTTCAAAATAAAATTCATTTGTGTTGTTGTTCGGCAAGGTGCATAGACCAAGGAACAATGAAGCACCATTCAATTCAAGATTGTTGGAGTCTGAGTGAGTGATTCCATTATTTTACTTATATATTGTTGTCATCACCTCATGATATATATATCATATTCAATTCATTGTCCCTGCTCAATAAACCAGAATGAATGTGTGACATATTTGGAGAATTATCGATTGACTGTTTGATCAACTGACGGGATAGACGACTGACAGATTGACTGACCGAATGAATGAATGAATGACTGTCTTGTCTAATTAATTGATTGATTGAATGACTCGATCGAACGATTAATTGTGTACCTTGTCACAAGGTAATGGACACTGTTATTGTTAGTTATCCAATCAAAGAAACTGTTAGGTCGGTTGGTCCTTTCAAAAGAAAAGACACCTCACCAATTCACACGTCAAAATATCTAGTTTTTGAAAAAATCATCTGATTGGTGGCCCTTCACATCAGGAGAAGTTGATTGTTTGTGGTCATGCGTGTGTGTGTGTGTGATGGGCCTTGAATGATGACCAAACAGTTTGTGTATGTTCACAAAAATAGATAATGTGATTGTTGATCAAGTCGTTAAAATAATAATGATGATGATGGAGTGGATGGTGCACCTTACCGTACAAACTATTAATATTTTAATAAAAAATAAAGATAATTGATAGATCTATTGCGTTTTGTGTGATTGTGATTGTTAATTTAGCAGAAGGTTAATGGCGGCACAACCAGTGACTGACACTTCTACCGTTGGCAACAATTCATTAATCATTCTATTATTATTATTAATCACATTGTAATATAATACATACAGATAAATATATATAAATATAACTATATATAAATAATAAGATAATATTGTCCAGTTAGTTCAAGTCGTTGTGTATTTAATTTCATTTCGATTATTTGGAATTTTTCAAATTAATTTGGAAGTTCACTCATATGGTAGGGTGATCGAGGCTTTCATTCATTCATTCATTCATTCATTCAATGATATTGGATGTTTCAAGTGAGGTAATGGATAATAGATATTGATTGAAATAGCTTTGCTTTACGGGCACTGTTTATTATCTATTGTAGCACTTGTGACACCAGTTGAGTATTGTAGTAGGATCGCTAGAATACTTGTTGAACGCGTTTTTGATTGTGTCGAGGAAGGATGCAGTTCTGTTCTTATCTCGGCACTCTCTCTTCATCATCGCGAACAACAGTTCGATGATGTTGAGCTCAGGGCTATAGGTTGGCAAGAACACCAACTTGACATTGATCAAATCAAGCATCTCCTGGATGAGAGGGAGGCGGTCCCTCTGTGTGTGGATACTGGCATTGTCGAGCACGATGTAGGTATTGGGTCGGATGTAGTCAGCCTCCATGGCATTGATGATGAATGAGCAGAAGGTGATGCTGTTGTTGGTGTCACCCTCAGTATGGTCCTTCATCCTCGCGTAGGATCCGTGGTGGATTGAGATCATGGCCATCAACGAGAAGGACTCCCTGAAGGACTCTCTGTTGACGCGAATGGGTTGCACTCTGCCTCTAGGGGCCAACAGCTTTCTCTTCCAACACTCTATTATTCGACATTGAACAAACATATTAGCGACAGCATAATAGTGCAGTGTTTG